GCATAAGTTACAGGTGACATGCCCACCCGGAGAGCGACGCCTCAGATTGCAATGGCCGCTCTGACTTCTTCTTCGTTTAGCCCCTACTTATAAACAATGCAAAAAGATGGGTGCTCCCTCTTCTGGCCAATCACCAGTCTCCTCTGTCTACAACACACTTCCTGTCTGTTGTATGTGGCGTTACACTAAAACATTCCCTCTTGATACTAAAATTAACGTCCTCTCCGGTTCCACTTAAAACATTTAACAAAGGCATAATCCTAATACACGACAGACACTTCCTCAGTATTTGAAAAGCCTCGATAATAACCAAGCCTTGGTGTGAAAAAGCAAAATATCATGATCTGATGATCCCATATATCCAATGGAAACGTAATTAAAAAACAGATTTTTGTCCCGAGCTCACTGGCGCAGGAAACTCTGGGGGCCCAAAATAGGCTATTTGATACAATGTTCCATGTTCGCTGGTGACAGCTTCTCTGAGTTCTATGCTCTCATTTATTTAGCCGCCAATGGATCACAGTGTATCAATGTGTCAATTTGGCAGAGGCTAGTGTTCTCGCCATAGTTGAATTTTAACTTTTAGATTTGTATCATGTTACGTGGTTAATCATTTACTTTGAATGATTACCCACGTGACAATGATTTTTAGAAACTAAAACGTTATTAATGAAATGAAACTGTTCCACGAAAATGTGCATAAAAAAAGTTCATAACTGTTGGTAGAAATGTTAGGATAAATTGTAAGTTTCCCCAAACTTGAAACTCACGAGCTGCCTGTGGTCTTTACTATTACACCCATTAAAACATTGTGAACGCGCAAGCACGTGCACACACAGGAGATCCCGATTCGTTCTGGCACCGGGTCTGCACCGACCAACCTCCCTACTTTCGTTTCTGTCATTTCTTTCGTTAATGTACCCATTCCGTTGTTGATGTAACGTAACATATGATACTTAATGGGTCCAGTGGGTCCAGTCTGGCTCAACAAACAGCTATAATAAAATGAATTATATCATTCATATTTTTTATGCAATTCATTCAAATTCGTAATTTGCATCACATTATCTTATAGTTACTGTCTCCTGCTCTACAATGTGTCTGGGACCTATTTGGTTTACTGTCCAGTCTAGCTTTTGTCAGCTAAAGATGTTAACTCACTCAGCGATTTGTTCCGCTCTAGATAGTATCACTCACTCACCACATGGTTTCGCAGTCAACGACAAGCTGAGAGAAAGAGACCCAAACATTAGTGGACGTCAACATACACGCACGCAGGCACAAGCACACGCGCCTGCCTGAGCATTCGAAATGTAACAAGTACGTTTAGGTGTCAGGGAAAATGTATGGAGTAAAAAGTACAGATTTTCTTTAGGAATGTAGTGGAGTAAAAGTTGTCAAAAATATAAATACAGATACAAAAGTACAGTAAGTATTTTTAATTAGTTCGTTTACATCATTAAATACAATAAATGACATTACTACTGCCGAAACAGCACTGAAACTGCACTGCTCTTCAGTAATAATGATTATCATCTTTTGTGGTCTTATTTAGGATATATTTGTCATGCTTGTTCTGTGGGATTTGTATCTGTGGGATTTGTGGGATTTGTGCTCCAGTGTTTTGCTAATGCAGATGTTGCATTCATCTGTGTTTAACACTGGCCACCGTGATGCACCCCAACCCCACCACAAAATCTGAAGCTGCTACCATCAGCTGGGGCTTTGTCAAACATAATCCACACATATCTCTTCATTATCTCTTAATTAGACTTGTGTTTCCTAATTGTTTAATAAGTCTAAGAACCCAATCTGGCTTCCCAGAGAATTTATAAAAATGACTGAACCCAATCTGGCAACCCGGAGCATTTATTAAAATGGGTGAATATCAAAACAAGCTTTTATGAGCCATTTAGGAGATCTAGGCCTACAACATATGACTGCAATATATGCGCTCCCTTTTTCGTATGTGTGTGATATGTTTAGTCAATTTTCAGACTTAAATGAATCATATTATCTGGCTATCATGCCAACTCCCTGTCACTCATTGGCATGCCAAACATGTTTGCAGAAACAGGTCTGGGAACAGGGCTAGGCTAGAATCATATTGTCTGGAATGTGTTCTATTTAACCCCAACATCAGTTTGAACAGAAAAGAGAACATGTACAAATACATCATGTTCTACAACTGATAATATATCAATAATGTAACAAATGTCATCTATACAGATCATGTCCACATTGTACTACTAAAAATAGAAATGATCAGGTTATCTCAGGGATACCAGTACATTGAAGTGGGAGGAGAACAATTATGTGAGAAATAGCTGGATTCAATTATTTTCTAACAAATAAAATGACAGAGATGATCTCTAATCTGTGGATTTGAAATATCCCTCTTGAATGACCTACAGAGTTTGTGTTATTCAGAATTGGCATGGCCATTGCAAACTATCACAGATGTGACCTAGCCCTCTGAATCACTTTGTTAATGAGTGAGGTGTGTATCAGCCAGCCAAATAATGGGCCAAATAATGGGCTATAATTCAATGTCATAACTCTATGTTAATGCATTTTTTAAATGAAGGACAATACAGGTTGAAATATTCAATGGACAGGTGCCTCTAGATTATAGGAAGTCAAGCCAAATATGTTGAATGCCCCAGTAGAATATTTCCTTTCCACATGATTCAGTACTCAAGGACACCCCTTGAAGAGGGCATTTGGCCCATTGATCATTGTTTAAAGGACTAGGACGAACAATATAGAGAGAGCACTACAAAGCAAACATGGACACACACCATACTGTTCACACACACACACACACACACACACACACACACACACACACACACACACTTGCCATAAGACTAAGGGCAAAGGATCAGCTCCCTAGAGAACCATGCTTCAGAACAGAATCTCAAAGGGTTCAGCGCCAGCCTTTGAGTCTTGAGCTGAATACTGATAGTCTCCCTCCCTCTGTGTGTGAATGAGTCTGACTGGCTGGCTGGTGGAGCCAACTGAGGATGTGCTGTTCTTACTGTTCTACTGCAGAGGGTCATGCTGTGCTGTGCTGTGGGCTGCCTGCCAGACCATGTGCCAGAGTTAAACCATCAACTCCCACTACTACCACCAGCCTCTATGGCAGCTTCCTACTGTGGACACACCCCCAGGACCCTGTCTCTCTTTACGCTCCCTATGTGTTTCCTGCTACTGTCACTAAGGGACAGGAAGAGGGGCGTGGCTTTGTTTTGTTCTGCCTTTCATGTTCGTCTCCTTTTGATTGGTGCTCCATAGAAGCACAGTGTGATAGGTGTGGGTGTGTCAGAACAGGTTACGTCATTTATTGTAAGATCAGAGCAATCAGCATCAAGGGAGGTGTGTGTGCGTGTGTGTGCGTGCGTGCGTGCACGTGTGCAGTATACACACACTTGACTTGATGTGACTAAACTACACAGAAACGAAGGAGTATCCTGGCGTCACCCACAGAATATAGCTGTAACTGTATTATTGCATTCATTACTGAGTATCGAGACTGTTCATTTGGACATACCTATTCATTCAAGGATTTTTCTTTATTTTTACTATTTTCCGCATTGTAGAATAATAGTGAAGACATCAAAACTATGAAATAACACATATGGAATCATGTAGTAACCAAAAAAGTGTTAAACAAATCAAAATATATTTTATATTTGAGATTCTTCAAATAGCCACCCTTTGCCTTGATGACAGCTTTGCACACTCTTGGCATTCTCTAAACCAGCTTCACCTGGAATGCTTTTCCAACAGTCTTGAAGGAGTTCCCACATATGCTGAGCATATGTAAAAATAAAGAAAAACCCTTGAATGAGTAGGTGTCCAAACTGTTGACTGGTACTGTACATCCTTATATATAGCAGAGCCATGAATGAATAGCAATGAGAATAAGAGCATGGGGAGGCCTGTGGGAACCGTAGCCTGTCATGGTCTGTGTGTGTCGGCAATGAGGCCAAAAGGCTCAGGTGCTTTTACATTTACGTCATTTAGCAGACGCTCTTATCCAGAGCGACTTACAGAGAGAGAGGAGAGAGAGAGAGGAGAGAGAGAGAGAGAGAGAGAGAGAGAGAGAGGAGAGAGAGGAGAGAGAGAGAGAGAGGAGAGAGAGAGAGAGAGAGAGAGAGAGAGGTGACAGTGAAGAAAGTATTTGCAGGCTTTGTGGTTCCTGCAATGTGCTTTTTGACATTCCACTGTAGTAAATTGCTGCATCAAGGTGATTGCAGTATGGTGACTGGGTTGAGCGCTAGTGCTGTCCATGGTGCTAAAATATTCAGGGATACTGGTGGTGCTGAATGGAAACCTAAACCCCTTGTTTTACATAGCGCAACATCATGCTTTTGCCATACTCTAAAGCAATGAACTCTAAATGCATAGCAATTTACTCTTGAGTAACATAATCCCAATAAAACTGCCTTTATCCACTTAAAATGTTCATTTTTGATAACTCAAAGCTTCCATTCATTGCATTTTAACGACAGCTGCCTCTGCGAAACGCCTGCAGTTTTTATGTGGTCGTCAGCATTCCCTCATCTAGGCCTATAGTGTATCCTCGCTGGACAAAATGTTCAGAGCAGAGCATGGGTTGTGGTATGGACGGGTTACATAAAACATCGCCGTGAGAGCTGAAACATGTTGTCTTCTTCAGAAAGCCATGCTGTATTAATAGAGAGCACTTTGAGGGTATCTTTTAAAGACATGGAGGGATGTTTCATTTATGACTATCTGAAGCACCACAGACCAACATGGGAGGGGAGAGGAATCTCTAGCAGGCTGCTGGTGGTGGAAAAAGTTCATGGGATGCCTTGAGTCACAGCAGTTGGATGGAGATGAAGTCAAGATCATAGATTTACAATGTGTAGAATTTGCATTATACGTGGTCGACGGCGGCCATATTGGTGGGTCTATTTGTATCTCTAGCTTGACTGATTTCTTACCACATTCTGACCACATGACCTGTCAAGATGTACGCCGTCTATATAGGTCTAGGTAGAATTTAAAACCTTGTCCATTCTGCCATGTCTATTTCTACGGTTTGGAGCAGAGTGCAGAAGTGATAAAATGGCTCCTGGCGGAGTGTTTTAGTTCCACAGGAAACATTGTAGAACCACATAGGGACACACTGATGCTCTCTAGCCACTAACTTTGTGTCCGTTTCTATAATTCATGGCAGGGAACCAGACCTCTACACACTTTAGATGGAAGATCCGCAGATGGAGGGAGAGTAACTTGGGTTGTTGGGGGAAAATAGCCTAAAATATACTCACTTTAGCCTTTGCTCTCTGCAACTGTGGAACTCCTGCCAAACAAGGGAGGCCTTTTAGCCAATGTATAATGAAAAACAACTATATTGTGAAAATATGCTGTAAAGAAAGACAAAATTGAGGCAGATTTTTCTCAAATGTTGTTAATGTTTCCTGTCCCCAGAAGTGCTCGTTTTGGTTCCTTAAGAGACCGAGATCGAGACTCGTCTCAATTTTATGACTGAAGTGCTCTCTTGTCGTTGAGTATTTCTATGTCCTCCATCCAGTCTTGGGGAAAAGGGAGTATTAGCCTAGTTATTCCTTAGAGTGTAAAAAGAGAGGCAGTGCCCAGGGAGGGAGATTGTAGTATCTCTTTTTGACATTGTGCTAAAGGAGTCTAACGCATCATGGAAATGCTATTAACTTGAGTTTGGCTAGCTGAATATCTGGGTAGAGGTCTAAGTGGTGGGGGAGAAAGATGAAGGGTTTCTATCCAGCTCTCTCTCTCTCTCTCTCTCTCTCTCTCTCTCTCTCTCTCTCTCTCTCTCTCTCTCTCTCTCTCTCTCTCCCTCTCACCCCCCCCCCCCCCCCCCATCCTCTCTGTATATGGCTCTCTCTCTGTCCAGCCTCTTTACCCCTGCTTGCTGGAGCATGGTGAGTGAGTAGCCGTCCAAGCTGAACATACTGCTGTGTGAAGTGTGACGAAGCCTGCTAGCACTAATGGCATGAGGTCTCCTCAGCCATCCGAGCTTGACAAGAATGCTATTCTCTGAACCAAGCTTTAATTGTTCTGATGATCATAGCTGGCGGTGGTGCCACAGAATAGCCCACAACTAGATGGGTATACGAAGATGGGAGCACTCAGAAAAAGGAAAATGGCTTTTGACATGCTTCTTGCTTGAAGAATAGGACAATGCTAGACTCCATCCTCGCGAAAACCTTTCTGCTCCAAAAAAGATGGTTTTAGAAATGTTTGGGTGGACGCTGGAGAGTGTGCGTGACACATATGATCTGAAAGATCCTTTTCAAAGCATGTAGGTTAGACATAGCGAAGATATTACACTGAGCAATGCTTGCACAATGAGTAAACACAAGGATACAGACACACACACACACACACACACACACACACACATACAGTGCAGGGAGATTGCTGATTGTGTAATTTGCCACTGTAGGCCATTGTTTGTTTCAAGCGTTTTATGGACCTGATCAAAAGAAGGGAAAATCAATGGATGGAATGGCAAGCTTTGAAGGTGTAACCATGCAATAGGATGTAAGACTTCATGCAGGAGGCTATGGCCATCATACAACAGACTATGTGTCATCATGAGACTGGCTGTCATTCACAGCCAGGTATTAGGCTATAAGCCCAAATCTTAAAACAACTTTGGGAAATGACTCGATTCACCATCATTCTGTTCAGAATGGCCAATAGATAATCGTTCTGTTTTTGAATTTGTCGCTCAGTTTGAGTTCTTTGGGGCCATTTGCAGTTCAATCAGAATGATTGGTTCAAGGCCTTGAGTGGTTCTGCTTTCTTTGTTTTTTTTTGCAGCACATGATGGCAAAAGCTTTTCAGAAAATACCAATTCTACCTCTGAAAGGGAAAGTGCTTTTCGATTTCCTTGAAAAGTATTGCTACATGCCCACGTTTCATATTGATTAGAGGCTTCATAGTTCAACGGTTGCTTTTTTTATTAATGCATGGCAAAGTACAGCCACTATCTGTTTTATGATGATGATGATGATGATGGTGATCATTAAACTGATCATTTGAATCTTTTATCATCATAGTCTTCTCCTCCTATTTAAATCACTCCAACAACTTTTCCTTCCTGCAAAAACAATGATCATATTTGTACTGAGACAACAGGGTTCCCACTTCAATAGTTAAAACCCTTTTCCTTCCATTCAAAAACAGTTTATGAGGAACAGTCTCCCCCATCTGCTCCCTGCTAGGCTGTGACATCAGATCTCTAGTGGAGTGGCATTTTTCATACACTCCCTCTCCTCCTCCTCTCTCCCTTTAAATCCTCTTACTCCACACACACACACATCAACACACACACAGACAGTGGTGGATTTGTTTTCGCTCTGAAGAGGAGGATTAGAAGATAAAGGAGGGGAAGGCCTCAGCTCTGAATCCGCCACAGCAGTTTGGTTTAGAGTTTAGACCAAAAGCCTTTTCAGCACAATGAGACACACGCTGAAACTCAAGCATGCCGACCGACTGCATGGCTGGCTCTCTGAAACCCACCCCCATGATGGGATAATGGGGGTGATATTGTCCCACTGATGGCTTAATGTAGTCAACCCATTAAGTCTATAAGGAGGATATTTTTGAGGGATATTTAAGTATTAGAAAACATGTTTTCTGATCTTGTTTTCATTGTTCCACATATTGCTGTATGTGTAAAGTCTATCTTCATCAGACATCAATGTAGTGTAGCGTGTCGATGTGAGGCTGGAGGCTAGAGTGTGAATGAATACACTGTGACACATCAATCTGTGGGTGTTTGTCGCACACAATGTTCCATTGTGCCCTAGCATGGCATTGTCATTGAACTATCACGACAGTGTTCTTTCTACCTCAAGGCTTGAAAGTCATCTGGAGAGTGATAGTCTGGAGGCCAATCTTTTGTATGTGAAAAAATCTAAAGGTGGTGACTATTGTTCTGTATGATCTGGCCTTGTGAAGGGTTGAGAGTGGCAATGATACATTTTGATTCTAGGCACACTTTATGCTAAGTTAATCCAAGTGAGGATGCCAATTTTGGTTCTGTTAATACAAAACCAATTTCACGGATCCCCAAGCATTAGTTTGAAGCCTGTTGTGCCTTGACGTCTCGATTACATCATTAATTTCATTTACAGTGAGCCATCTGACGGTCGTCTCGGGGTTCTCTGACTGTCTCATGCCTTCACACTCGTAACACAATTTAATGGCAGGATTTCACTACAGCAGCTATGTAATGGCCATAGTAGCCAATTATGTTAAGCTATGTAGATATCCAGCTCGAAGGACCATGAAAAACAATGTCCCACAGTCCAGTAGTGGGTAGGCTCGGAGAAAGGTGCTGCTTACAGCAACATCACAATTTAATAAGTAGGGATATTGTCCATACGATTATCCTTATACCTCATTTTACTCTGCTTCAGCCACAAGAACAAATCATCGGGCTGGCCTCCCCCCTCTGGATCCTGGGGCACCCTGCCGGGACCCCCCTATGGCTGGGACATGGGCTCTTCCAGGGACGGCCGAGACTACTTCAGCAAGTAAGTACCATCCTTCCCCAGTGTCCAGGCCCAAACCACACATCCCCCCTAACAGTTGCAAATCATTCCGCTTCTAGGCCTAATTCAAATCTACCTCACTCAGCTATTAACATTCAAATCACTTGTTTTAGCATTATAACACGTGACACACTGTCGCTCAGGGAGTGTGCCTTAGAATATAAGTAGTGAGTGTGATCACATACATTGTTTGATTAATAGTCCTGTAAGCTATAAAAAACAAATATGTATAAACCCCTAGTAATTTATTGGGTAAGAAACCACCAACGTTTCGGCATCACTGTACCTTCTTCAGGGTCCTGCCATAAACTTTAAATGATCCTCTGATCAAATTTCCCACACATGCTTCATAGGGTGTGACAAAGTGTGATTACTCAAAACGTTAGTTATGACAGGTGCTAGTGAAAGCGTACGCTGTAATGGAGATTCCTAAGGAATATGAGGACTAGTGTAGAGTTTGTAAAGGTCAGTCATTCCTATTTTGTCTGGATATTCCGGACACGTCAAGTTCTCCCATGTCCTGTAGCAACAGTATGCCAATGGAATAGTGATCACCCCCCCCCCCCCCCCCCCCCACCCCCGTCGCTTCATTCCCGTCTGACGTAGACTGCCTCAGTGTCTGGAATTCTTTCGGAATACTGATTCCCTTTGCTACATCTGTGGATACATAAAACACACCTTTTCCCCCCTGAGTGACGCAGGACTTCTGAACAAGGAAAGGGTGATGTCTCCTGTCTCTAGACGTGTCACTAGCATGAAGGCTTCTTTGATCCCAGTGAGAATGGGATGACGTTTCCAGAGATGACACCGTAGTGCAGATAAGGGAGTGTCACAATTGGATTTCTAGGCGTGATAAATAAATGGATGAGGACAGGTAAACAGAAGAGATTGTTCTCCTAACCTAACCTAGCATAACCTACTGTTACAGGTTTAGTGAATGTTGTTGTTTTCCTTCATGGCAAAGGGGAATGTGTGAGTGTGCTTGCCTGCCTACGTGTGTGTGTGGGCGTGTATGTGCATCTCCATCTTTAAGCGAGCCGTACCATCTGAGGTGTAGGACGGGTATTAGGAGGATAATATATGGCTGGTCTCAGAGCAATATATCTGCCTTTGTGGCGATATATTTCTCTGATTGGCCTGAGTATAATAGAGGGGTCTCCCTATTGGGCATAAAGGACTGAGTGGATTTCAAATATATCACCCTCTCTGTGCACTTGGGATAATGATAATACACTGAACCCTCTGAATCCTGAATCCCAGACAGTCCACACTATTGATATTATCCTTTGATATCCAGGGAATATTAGACATTCCAGTGTATACTGTGCCTTTGGTGTATCCATGTATGGATTACCTGGTCCCGGTCTGTGTGGATCCGCTGCAACATCAGCATCGGACCTTCCAGGGCACAGACGCCAGTGAACTCTGAACTCTGACCCTTTGCCCAGCTCTTGGAGATTAAACCATGATCAATATACCTGCGTGTAGATCACCTAGGGTACGGGACTGAAGACAAATCATCATGAAAGCTACAGTAAAGTAGTGAAGCTGTATTGAAACTAGCCCTGAGAAAATGGACCTGAACAGAGAATGGAGATGCCTAAAGAGTGAATGGATTATATAACCCAGAGATACTTCATATTATCACAGAATCACTAGACATTAGTTGAAAAGGGGAGTGGACAGAACCAATAGGAATAGGTAAAGAGAGGGCAAAAAACGATTACCATGGAGGATGTAGACTGTGGGTATGGTGCAGTGGGTACATCAGAAGCACAAATGTAGGATGCCACACCCAATCACATCACTGATGCCAGACGGTGAACCTTAACCTTTGACCCATTGGAGATAATAATGGTCAGGTGTGTGTGTGTCACAGGAGGTTGGTGGCACCTTCATTGGGAGGATGGGCTTGTGGTAATGGCTGGAGCGGAATTAGTAGACTGGTATCAAATACATAGTTTGATACCATTCCATTTGCTCCGTTCTAGCCATTCTTATGAGCTGTCCTCCCCTCAGCAGCCTCCACTGGTGTGTGTGTGTGTGTGTGTGTGTGTGTGTGTGTGTGTGTGTGTGTGTGTGTGTGTGTGTGTGTGTGTGTGTGTGTGTGTGTGTGTGTGTGTGTGTGTGTGTGTGTGTGGTGTGTGTGTGTGTGTGTGTGTGTGTGTGTGTGTGTGTGTGTGTGTGTGTGTGTGTGTGTGTGTGTGTGTGTGTGTGTGTGAGTGCAAATATGTCAGATGGTTTAGGAGTGTTATGTAGCACAATTAAAATTAAGTGAGAAGTGTCTATTTTTAGAATGTTGACCCCACCCAGATATAGGGTGCCAGACTGCTGATTGTTTCTGTAAATCAGGTCATCACTGTAAATAAGAATGTGTTTTTAATTGGCTTACCTGTATAAATAAAGGTAATAACAGAATTCCACACTGATCCCACTACCCTGTCACCGGTTCCTCTCAATTGTTAGTCTGAAATGACTGAACACTCAGGCCCCCTGGCATCCAAAATGTCAATTGAAAAATAAGTAGAAGCCAATTTTATTAGGCAGGGAACAAAAGAGTTTGGCTTGAGGCCCACCCAAAAGTATGGAAAACACTGTTCTAGTCAGGAGAGTCCTATGTCCTTGGTCTCCTGTTGGATCAGTTTGCACTGAGAGGCTGCTCTATTGAGTCTGTCTCTGATGATGCATTGTCTGTTCCTGTTTCCCCTCAGCCATGTGTCCCAGAGCAGCTCCCTGGAGGAGGTGCACCGTCTGGATGGGGTGCAGCTGGTGCCCCCTGCCCCCCGGCTGTTGGAGATGAGACGGGACCCCGTCCTGGGGTTCGGCTTCGTGGCCGGGAGCGAGAAACCGGTGGTGGTTCGCTCCGTCACTCCTGGTATGCATCTAAGTCCCACCAACTGCCTACATCTTACATGAGCCCTCCTGGTATATCCCTCCGCCTACATCTCCCATGATGATCACTGACCAAACTCTCCTGAAGATCTCTAATTTAAAGCCATATCAATATACATGACACTCTCATATCAGAACAGGGCCGTAGCTGTTTCATGGGAACATATAAAGATATATACAGAACCAGTCAAAAGTTTGGACACACCTACACATTCAAGGGTTTTTCTTTATTTTTACTATTTTCTACATTGTAGAATAATAGTGAAGACATCAAAACTATGAAATAACACATATGGAATCATGTAGTAACCAAAAAAGTGTTAAACAGATTTAGATTTTAGATTCTTCAAAGTAGCCACCCTTTGCCTTGATCACAGCTTTGCACACTCTTGGCATTCTCTCAACCAGCTTCACCTGGAATGCTTTTCCAACAGTCTTGAAGGAGTTCCCATATATGCTGAGCACTTGTTGGCTGCTTTTCCTTCACTCTGCGGTCCGACTCATCCCAAATCATCTCAATTGGATTGAGGTCGGGGGATTGTGGAGGCCAGGTCATCTGATGCAGCACTCCATCACTCTCCTTCTTGGTAAAATAGCCCTTACACAGCCTGGAGGTGTGTTGGGTCATTGTCCTGTTGAAAAACAAATGATAGTCCCACTAAGCCCAAAACAGATTGGGATGGCGTATCGCTGCAGAATGCTGTGGTAGCCATGCTGGTTAAGTATGCCTTGAATTCTAAATACATCACAGACAGTGTCACCAGAAAAGCACCCCCACACCATAACACCTTCTCCTCCATGCTTTACGGTGGGAACTACACATGAGGAGATCATCCGTTCACCCACACCGCGTCTCACAAAGACACGGCAGTTGGAACCAAAAATCTCAAATTTGGACTACAGACCAAAGGACAAATTTCCACCGGTCTAATGTCAATTTCTCGTGTTTCTTGGCCCAAGCAGGTCTCTTCTTATTAGTGTCCTTTAGTAGTGGTTTCTTTGCAGCAATTCGACCATGAAGGCCTGATTCACACAGTCCCCTCTGAACAGTTAATGTTTAAATGTGTCTGTGACTTGAACTCTGTGAAGCATTTATTGGGGCTGCAATTTCTGAGGCTGGTAACTCTAATGAACTTATCCTCTGCAGCAGAGGTAACTCTGGGTCTTCCATTCCTGTGGAGGTCTTCATGAGAGCCAGTTTCATCATAGCGCTTGATGGTTTTTGCGACTGCACTTGAAACTTTAAAAGTTCTTGAAATGTTCCATATTGACTGACTTTCATGTCTTCATGTCTCGTTTCTCTTTGATTATTTGAGCTGTTCTTGCCATAATATGGACTTGGTCTTTTACCAAATAGGGCTATCTTCTGTATACCCCCCTACTTTGTCACAACACAACTGATTGGCTCAAACGCATTAAGAAATTCTACAAATTAACTTGTAAGAGGGCACACCTGTTAATTGAAATGCATTCCAGGTGACTTCCTCATAAAGCTGGTTGAGATAATGCCAAGAGTGTGCAAAGCTGTCATCAAGGCAAAGGGTGGCTATTTGAAGAATCTCATATCTCAAATATATTTTGATTTGTTTAACACTTTTTCGGTTACTACATGATTCCATATGTGTTATTTCATAGTTTTGATGTCTTCACTATTATTCTACAATGTAGAAAATTGAAAAACCCTTGAATGAGTAGGTGTGTCCAAACTTTTGACTGGTAGTGTATGTTCCTACATGTAGTTTAGAAATCTACTTAATATCATATTGGTACAAAGTGTTCAAAGACATTTCAGTCAATGCAAATTACATTGTAGTGTATGTGTCATGGATACCTTTACTGTTGAAGTCGGAAGTTTACATACACCTTAGCCAAATACATTTAAACTCTGTTTTTCACAATTCCTGACATTTAATCCTAGTAAAAATTAGGATCACCACTTTATCTAAAAAATGTGAAATGTCAGAATAATAGTATAGAGAATTATTTATTTCAGCTTTTATTTCTTTCATCACATTCCCAGTGTGTTAGAAGTTTACATACACTCAATTAGTATTTGGTAACATTGCCTTTAAATTGTTTAACTTGGGTCAAACATTTTGGGTAGCCTTCCACAAGCTTCCCACAATAAATTGGGTGAATTTTGGCCCATTCCTCCTGACAGAGCTGGTGTAACTGAGTCAGGTTTGTAGGCCTCCTTGCTCGCACACGCTTTTTCAGTTCTGCCCACAAATGTTCTATAGGATTGAGGTCAGGGCTTTGTGATGGCCACTCCAATACCTTGACTTTGTCCTTAAGCAATTTTGCCACAACTTTGGAAGTATGCTTGGGGTCATTTGCGACCAAGCTTTGACTTCCTGACTGATGTCTTGAGATGTTGCTTCAATATATCCACATAATTTTCCTTCCTCATGATGCCATCTATTTTGTGAAGTGCACCAGTCCCTCCTGCAGCAAAGTACCCCCACAGCATGTGCTTCACAGTTCGTATTTTGTTATTCGGCTTGCAAGCAACCCCCTTTTTCCTCCAAACATAACGATGGTCATAATAGCCAAGCAGTTCTATTTTTGTTTCATCAGACCAGAGGACATTTCTCCAAAAAGTACGATCTTTGTCCACATCTGCAGTTGCAAACTGTAGTCTGGCTTTTTTCTGGCGGTTTTGGAACAGTGGATTCTTCCTTGCTGAGCGGCCTTTCATATTATGTCGATATAGGACTCGTTTTACTGTGGATATAGATCATTTTGTACCTGTTTTCGCACTTTTCGCACCAAAGTACGTTCATCTCTAGGAGACAGAACGCGTCTCCTTCCTGAGTGGTATGACGGCTGCGTGGTCCCATGGTGTTTATACTTGCGTACTATTGTTTGTACAGATGAACGTGGTACCTTCAGGCATTTGGACATTTTTCCCAATGATGAACCAGACTTGTGGAGGTCTACAATTATTTTTCTGAGGTCTTGGCTGATTTCTTTTGATTTTCCCATGATGTCAAGCAAAGAGGCAGTAAGTTTGAAGGTAGGCCTTGAAATACATCAGAAGCTTCTAAAGCCATGACATTCTTTTCTGGAATTTTCCAAGCTGTTTAAAGGCACAGTCAACTTAGTGTATGTAAACTTCTTACCCACTAGAATTGTGATACAGTGAATTATAAGTGAAATAATCTGTCTGTAAACAGTTGTTGGAAAAATTACTTGTGTCATGCACAAAGTAGATGTACTAACCAACTTGCCAAAACTATAGTTTGTTAACAAGAAATTTGTGGAATGGTTGAAAAAAACGAGTTTTAATGACTACAACATAAGTGTATGTAAACTTCCGACTTCAAATGTATATCCTTGGGTTAATTCTGGCTTTCCCATCGACCTTTGAAGTGTCAGTAACACTTCAGTGTCTATATTTTGGTTAATAAGAGCAGTTCATGCATTGTCACATGTTTGTAGTATGACATTGATGCCGTGGGGTTTTTCACGCGCAGCACTTTGTTAGCAGGGACACTTGTCACATCTCTATCAGCCTAGGGGGTGTTTCAATAATCAGTGTTTGATCAACAATACAATATAATAACCACTATTGTCATGATCCAGTATTATTAATGAATATAATAGGAATATGAGGGTCGTGTTAATTCTAATGAGACTTTTGGCCCTGGTGTGATGTCATCTATCTGCCTGACTAAATAAATGCATGAGGCAGCCACTGCCATGGACTGTATCTCGCCTAAAGCACCCTCTAAGCAATTATGGATTCTTGACATAACAATTATCTCTTGATCTTAATCTCCACTACGCTGTACAGTGGGGAAAAAAAGTATTTAGTCAGCCACCAATTGTGCATGTTCTCCCACTTAAAAAGATGAGAGAGGCCTGTAATTTTCATCATAGGTACACGTCAACTATGACAGACAAAATGATACAAAATACTTATTTTCCACCATAATTTGCAAATAAATTCATTAAAAATCCTACAATGTGATTTTCTGGATTTTTTTTTCCTCATTTTGTCTGTCATAGTTGACGTGTACCTATGATGAAAATTACAGGCCTCTCTCATCTTTTTAAGTGGGAGAACTTGCACAATTGGTGGCTGACTAAATACTTTTTTTCCCCACTGTATGTGAGCTCAGTGAAACACAGTGCTATATTGGTAGCTTTTCTCTGATCATTAGTGTGACAGTTACTAGGCTGTCTTCAATGGCACAATGCAATTGGACATGCAGTGACACCAATCAAATTACTTTTGTTCTCATATGACAATTTTACTGAGGTATAGTGATTGTTAGTCGTGAGTAACACTAATCACTGATTGATTACATGATGGACGTTGGACAATCGGTCATTTAGGTATTCCATGCTGTTTTCATTTTAACCCAATAATCTACTGAAAGACCATGACATATTAAACATTATAAGTCAACGTTATGAGTGTTGCTCATCCAGTGCTTAGTGTAACTACAGACTGAGACTACAAAACAGTTGTCATTATATGACTAAGTGAGGCAGAGGGTTCCTCTCTCAGCTTCTCTCTATTCTATTCAGATGTGTGGAGAGTTTCTGAGGCCCCCTACACTCTCCCCACATCTCCTCTCCTCAGCCAGTGTCATCCATCAATCCATTCATTCAAAACTCCACTATCGCGGGAAACAGACTTTCCTGTTGGAAAATAATTAGCGCTTTCAGAATCGGTGCAGGTGTTGGGAACAAAGGCCCATCTTCATTTGTCTTGTGTTTTCCACAACACAAGCAGAGATATTCAATTGCCAGCGCCGGCTGAGAAGCTCGTAATCTCCACAGGAGAGAGTGGGACGCAGACAGTGTGTTTTTGAGAAAAATGTCATGAGTTAATTTTCTTTGGTGTTAGTGGGCAGTGCTGATGTTTGAAACCAGATTTGAACCCAAGATAATGTGAACATGGAGCATTGTTAACGACAAATGTATGTTCAAATTCCTGACAATCAGTGTGTGTGTATGCATGTGTGTGTGTGTGTGTGTGTGTGCGTGTGCCTGTGCATTCATGTGCCTGTGTGTGTGTGTGTGTGTGTGTGTGTGTGTGCGTGCGTGTGTGTGCGTGCGTGCGTGCGTGAGTGTGCGTGTGTGTGTGTGTGTGTGTGTGTGTGTGTGTGTGTGTGTGTGTATGCGTGTGTGTGTGTTTGCAGGAGGTCCGTCGGAGGGAAAGCTGATCCCAGGAGATGAGATCATCATGATCAACGACGAGGCAGTCAGCTCAGCGCCCAGGGAACGAGTCATTGACCTCGTCAGGTAACCCTGTCTGTCTGACTGTCTGTCTGACTTAATGTCTGTTTATCTAGGGTATTCAGCATAGGTAACTATGTCCAGTTGTGCCAATAGCTGTTATCTCCCATGGTCCTTCAGGCGCCAGACTTTTCAGGCACTTTTTGCTTTGAGGAAATAATTTCATGACCAATTATTTCTGTCAGCTTAACAAAGTAGAGGTGTTACAAACGATTTGGTGATTTGATGGCTGTAATTTCCAAGACACATCCAAACCATGCCCTTAGGGGAGCACATCTTGTGTCCTGTCCTTCATGTTGTAGTTTTTATTTTGTGATTATGCGCTCAGAAATGTGTCTAGTGTAGTGTAAACACGGCTGACATGTTGTATTACTGAGGGATGACCAGACTTTATCAAAGGGACATAATGTTGTGGAGCTAGCGTCTGCCTTTGGTCGTTTTTCTATTCAACTCTGAAAAGTGAACATTGCATTTTCGTGACTGCATTACTTGATTGGGCAGCTCTCACATTTTCCTATCCAATTATTACTGCATAAAACTCAGCCAAAAGCTTGGGTAATTATATTTTCTAACATGGCAGACATATGACATTTAATTAGAAATTGATAAATGTCAGAGTCTGAAGTGAGGCTGTGTTCTTGTCTGTTTGTTTGTGGAGACGTGAAAATGTTTAATAACATTTCATCCCCCCAGATACCAGAATATGGTTTGTGTGTGTATGTGTGTATGTGTGTGTGTGTGTGTGTGTGCACGTGCGTGTGTGTGTGCAGCATGTGCGTGTGTGCATGTCCATGCGTATGTGTGCCTCCGTGTGTGTGTGTGTGTGTGTGTGTGTGTGCATGTCCATGCGTATGTGCGCCTCCGTGTGTGTGTGTGTGTGTGTGTATGTGTGTGCACGTGCATGTGTGTGTGCACGTGCGTGTGTGTGTGCACGTCCATGCGTATGTGTGCCTCCGTGTGTGTGTCTGTGTGTGTGTGTGTGTGTGTGTCCCTTAGTTCATTACATTGGATTGGAAATCATTGATTTTCTGTTTACGTTGCCATTAAATCGAAGTCATTCACTGTAACTATCAGTCAATTAAATGTGCTTTTCTACCTCCAGAAACTGTAAGGAGTCCATTATGTTGACTGTTGTCCAGCCATACCCTGTGAGTATGTTTATTTTTTAGAACTGTTCATGTTCTTTATAATAACAGGATGTAACATTTCTGCACACCTGACACAAGGATTGGTTTCATCCTGACCGCCATGCTAAATCTCTCTGTTCTCAGTCGCCCAAATCAGCGTTCATCAGTGCAGCCAAAAAAGCCAAGCTCAAGTCCAATCCGGTCAAAGTGCGCTTCGCAGAAGAGGTCATCATTAACGGTCAGGTTCCGGTAAGTTCTCCTCCTGTCACATGGTTGACAGTTGAATTGATCCATTTGACCTTTGACCTCCAATTGAACTGACAAAACTGATTAGTGTAGATTTAGTTCATATGAATGATATCTACTTTGGGGGTTTTGTATAAGTAAGGCTCTGTTCTAATATCCACACCAGAATATCACTTCAAATGAAGCAACGTATTGGGGATGCATTCTAAATAGTATGGATACTGGAACACAGCCTATAGTATGTGTTGGTATACAGTTGTTTATCTGGCTACATCCAGACAGGTCAACAACGCTAGCAAGCAATGTAGGGTCATTCCTTTGTACTGGAGGTCTTTTATGTCCTGTTTCCACCTAGAAGGCAGTGAAGGACAACTCTGTCCTCTTCATGTAGGCTAATGTATGTCTTGTATGTCATTCTTCTGTGTCTCGTTTCCACCCAGAACACAGTGAAGGACAACTCTCTCCTCTTCATGCAGAACGTTCTGAAGGTGTACCTGGAGAACGGGCAGACCAAGTCGTTCCGGTTCGACTGCAGCACATCCATCAAGGTGTGTGTGACACTTTGGGGAGGGAGGGGGGTGGGGGGTAGGGTGTCCCTGTTTCCATAATCACTGTAGCGAAATGAGAGGAAATTAATGGAATATGGCATGGGGACTCAACCTTGACTTGAAATGCAAATTGCATTCTAACCACCTTAGCTACACGGGGGCAGAAAATGAGAACCAAAATAAAAGATAGTCTTGTTATTTTTTTAATCATTTGGTATTAGGACATTGAAATTGACCTTTGGTTATGATGTGATAGGATGTTATCATGACCCTACAAGAGAAGCTGTCCATCAAGTGCATCGAGCACTTCTCCCTGATGCTGGAGCAGCGGACGGAGGGATCGGGCAGCAAGCTGCTACTCTTGCATGAGCAGGAGATGCTAACTCAGGTAGGAATTACTGTAGGCATGCTAACGCTAAGTCATTGATTTGACCTTTACTTATTCAGGAAGTCCCATTGAGGTCAAGAGACCTCTTATGGTAGATATACCTAGCCAATTCATGACAGAGATCAATCAATGAATCAATCAACCAATCAATTTATATAGCCCTTTTTACTAGTGCTTTGCAGTTTACACTTATGCATTTCATCTAACAAGAAGCAAATGGAGCTTCTTCTTTCTGACATAATTCCTACTAATTTGAAAAAGAGCGGAAGAAAGAGAATCCTAAATGTAACTGAACTAGACACCCTCTATCCCATATCAGGAGGATAGGTATCAGTATAGCTGCAGGTCCAGGTTATTAACATCCCAGAGAGAATGGAGAGAATGGCAGTCATTAATCTGTTGCTAGCCCAGAGTCACACTAGTGATCCCGTTCTGCTTCCTAAACGCACTCCCACCTCGGCCTCTTCAGTAGCCTATAGATAAGAGGGAATTCTATTCCAGCACTACACCACAATCACACTCCAAGCTGAGACAGACAAAGTATGCATCCGAAATGGCACCCTATTCCCTTTATAGGTCACTACTTTTGACCAGTGTCCCATAGGGTGCTGGTCAAAAGTAGTGCACTAGGGAATAGGGTGCCATTTGGGACGTACACAAACACTTCCTGCTCAGTATTCACAGAGCGACTCAAGAGCACAGCATGATTTATCAAGTCCGGCACAGCAGGGCGCCTCTGCTTTCAATGGTTTAATGAAAGTGTACTGCGATCATAGTGAGGATACTTTTAATATGCATCACCATCATCCTGCATAGACAGCCCTGTGATGGTAAGCAATAATGGAAATAACCGATGAATAACAAATTACATTTTCAAGGACGAAAAGAGATATGTAATATGTTTTGTTATGATTCTTGTAAGGGGCTGAAATCTGTAAGCTCAAGACGTTATCTAGAACTTAAACGGGTTCTTCGGCTGTCCCCATAGGAGAACCCTTTGAAGAACCCTTTTTGGTTCCATGTAGAACCCTTTCCACAGAGGGTTCTACCTGGAGCCAAAAGGGTTCTACCTGGAGCCAAAAAGGATTGTACTTGGAACCAAAAAGTGTTTTCCTATGGGGACAGCCGAAGCACCCTTTTGGAAGCCTTTTTTCTAAGAGTGTACCTGTGAAGGAATTAGGGAACGAGGACAAACTACTGACCAGTGTAGTAGCACTTACAGTATATCTCCCTCTGCGTGTCTTAATGAATTCCTGTCCCTTGACAGAGGCCAAGAACCTGTCCAATGGATCCAAATTAGTCTGACTGCAACAATGACTCACCCTGTCCTTAGCACTGACCTTATCATCCCATTATGTACTTAGGAATGCATTTACCTGAGCATTTTATGAAGTTTGACATCATACCTAGCACCTTGAGGGACCTTGCATTTGATGTTTCCATTTTGATGTGTCTGTATCTCTTTCACATCAGTATACATTTACAATGCAGTAAAACGTTTCAATATTTTCTCTATCACACTTTCTCAACCCCCCCCCCCTCCTTTTCTCACATTCTCTCATCCTCTTGTTCGTTTCAGGTGACACAAAGGCCGGGGTCTGATAAGATGAAATGTTTCTTCAGAATCAGCTTCGTCCCCAAGGACCCGGTGGATCTGCTCAGACGGGATGCGGTGGCGTTCGAATACCTCTACGTTCAGGTGAGAGCACCAAAGGAGACCCAATCATAGTGGAGCATAACACAAGACTGCACTCCTGTATTCTCAGGTGAGCTTGTCTAACAAGCATTGAGACTTTAGCTTGTCAATAATGGCCTTTTGATCAATTACATGCATATCAAGTTCAAGGTTCCCATCCAAAATTGGTTGGTTGTCCAAGGTTTTAGGCTCAGTCAGATCTTCATAATATTTGCTGTGCTCTTGGGATTGACTAATCAAAGCAATATTGCTTCTATGTTACTGACAACAATGCCAGATTCTAGCTTGGCCTTCCTCTACTTGTAAATAGAACAAAATGCATCTATTTTGAATGGCTTGCACACTAGTTCTAACTGTCCCTCCTGGTCTAGAGCTGTAACGATGTGGTTCTGGAGCGCTTCGGCTCGGAGCTGAAGTATGACGCCGCGCTCCGATTGGCCGCTCTGCAGATGTACGTCCTCACTATGACGACCAGGCAGATGCAGAAGGTCTCGCTCAAATACATCCAGTAAGTTCAGCTCCTTCACATTCACCTTACTGTTGTTGTTGTTGTTGTTTTGCACTGACAAATGGGCGATGGACCTGCTCAAAAGGACTCTTTGTACTGGTGCATAATAAGCATGGTTAAAAAGGTGAACACTAATTAGCATTATTTCCATGACCTTGAATATCAAATGCCTTCTTAATTTCCAGGAAGGAGTGGGGTCTGGCCCTTTTCATCCCACCAGCAGTGATGACCAGCATGAAGGAGAAGAACATTAAGAAAGCACTGACGCACATCCTCAAAACCAATCAGAACCTAGTGCCTCCAGGAAAAAAGGTACAGTACGGATTCCATCGTCAAAGCTCTCTCTCTCTCTCTCTCCGTAGATTGTCTGCTTGGCAAAGCTGCCCTCTAGAGGAGTGTAGCTGTCTCTGTTTGCTTTCTTTTTTTTTGCTTCATCATCGACGATAATGTCAGTTGTGTATTATCCAAATCATAATTGAGACAGAGAAATACAGTCAAACCTATAAACAGTTAGTGAATTTTTGTTAACCCCAAGATATTTTCCTCTGTCTTTTTTTCCTGTAGTTGACTGCGTTGCAGGCAAAGGTGCACTACTTGAAGTATCTCAGTGACCTGAGGTTGTATGGAGGGAGAGTGTTCAAATCCATTCTTTTGGTAAGGCCACTAGTTGTAGCTTTCCCTATTTCAGTTATTGGTCAAATAGAAAACCAATCCGTATCCCAATAGATATCGTTCCTAATCCATATCCTGCCTTCTCTCTTTTACACACTCTCACACACACACACACACACACACGCACGCACGCACACACACACACACATGCACACACACACCCTCACCCCCAACACCCACCCTCACAGCAGGGGGAGAAGCAGACAGAGGTGACCTTGCTAGTGGGGCCCAGGTACGGCATCAGTCACGTGATCAACGCCAAGACCAACCTGATGGCCCTGCTGGCAGACTTCAGCCATGTGAACCGCATCGAGATCCTCACAGAGGATGATATCAATGTCCGCGTGGAGCTCCATGTCATGGATGTCAGGGTAAGGAGTGGGGCCTGGGGTGTGGAGTTGACACAGTTAAGAGAGTGGCTTGAGGCTTGGGCGGCAGGTAGCTTAGCGGTTAATAGCGCTGGGCCAGTAACTGAAAGGTTGCTGGTTCGAATCCCTGAGCCGGCAAGGTGGAAAAATCTGCTGTTCTGCCCTTGAGCAAGGTAGTTAACCCCCAACAACTGGGCACCGATGACGTCGATTAAGGCAGTCCCCCGCACCTCTCTGATTCAGAGGGGTTGGGTTAAATGTGGAAGAAACATTTTGGTTGAATGTATTCAGTTGCGCAACTGACTAGGTATCCCCTTTCACAAAAAATCAGCAGATACCCATAAGGCATCATGCCCTGATCAATATTAGCTGGCTAATAAGTAGAAAAACCAGTCTGTACATAAATACTATTCTTGCAAGAGCACATCCTCGTATTCTCTAATATTTGTATTTCTTTATATTTGATCTGTAGCCCATCACGTTGATAATGGAGTCTAGTGATGCCATGAACCTGGCGTGTCTGACAGCAGGGTACTATCGACTCCTAGTGGATTCTAGGAGATCTATCTTCAACATGGCCCACTGCAACAGCATCGCTGAAGAAATGGGTCGGTCAACCTAGTACTATGTGGTGTGTGTGTGCGTGTGCGTGTGTGCTCTTCTGTATACATGTCTATTATATCCACTATTTTGTCAAATTGTTGAAGTGAGTTCTTCTATTAAACAACAGATCAGGACAATCTTCTGGAGTGGCCGTACAGCACTTCGTTAGGCAACTGTGAGGACCCCAATGCTGCCGTCCAGGACGAGCGTTACAGCAGTGACATGGACTTCTCTAACAATGGAGGGAGAGAGAACAACATCTCTCCCTACATCCCCGAGCCCCAACACCATACCCTAACCCTGCAGCAGAACGAGAGGCCGTCGGAGAGGCAGAGGAGTCTCCAGCCCCCACCTCTCCCCCCCGCCAGAAACAAACCCCAAGACTCCCCCCGGAGCGCCAAGGTCTCCTTCATCTTCGGAGACCCTCCTTTGAACACTGTGAACCCCCAGAACTTAGGTTACGAGCGCCTGATGGATGAGAGTCCCGAGGTGCCAGAGCACAGGCCCACAGCCTACTTGCACAACAACGTCAACAACACGGGGGACTTTACGACCCAAGTGCCCGTGCCCTTCCAGTTTACCGATGGCAGGCCGCACGTAGTCTACAGCAACATCGGCGAGGAGCTGGTGGATGAACCGCTGCTAAGGGACCTTTGTTATGCAGACACCACGGACGACGCCGAGGATGAGGACGACGCCAGCTGTGAGGAAGACTCTACCGGGATGGGAGGGGGGGAGGATGGCGGCGTAAGTGTAGGGGGCGGGGCTACATCAGTGAGCAAAGCCACGTTCCTCACCCTCTCGGGCTCCAGTGATGACATCATCGACCTGACCTCACTTCCTCCCCCCGAGGGGGGCGTTGACGAGGATGATGATACCGACGGCGTCCTCCATTCATTAAATCTCGCCATTGCCGCCCCGCCCCCGGGGTTCAGAGACAGTTCTGATGAAGAGAGCCCCGAGGGTCGCCCTCTGGCCACTGCCAACAACAGTGACATGCCCGTGTCGTTGATCGACGCTGTCCCCACGGGGACGCATGGCGAGGGGAGCGGCAGGGAAAGGAGGCTGGAGGATGCCATGGTGACCACCCTGCAGGCGCTGGAAGCCCTGTCCGTGTCTGAGGAGAGGCCACACCCACGCCCACAGCGACCACAGCCCAACAGTAACCCAGGTCTTTACTACTACCATCATTATGCCTATATCACTTAGGCCTGTGGTTTACAGCAGTCATGGCCTTGCTCTAGTTTTGGTTTTTCATTGTTCACTGTTCAATGCTGTGCTTTGTGATCAGACCTGGACAAAATTAGGATGTCTTCAAACTTTGTTTAAAGTGATATAATAGAATTGTATTACTTTTATGTAGATAAGGTTGAAAGAAGCTCAACTGATTATTTTCTTCTCTCTGGCTCACGTAGGTGTGCATATATCTCGAGCTTTCAGTCCTGAGTCTTCCTCTGACTCAGGCAACGAGACCAACTCCTCAGAGATGACTGAGACCACGGAGCAGGCTGCCGCCCACAAGCTCATCCACGAGAACCACAGGCGCCTCCTTATCGCCACCTCAGAGGGCTACCAGCCTCTGACGGAGGAAAAGACAGACTTCCCCGTCTCGCCCAGAGGGGCCACCCAAAACAAAGCCCACAGCCCCTCCCACTATCGAGACGGAGGGCCGCAGTCGTCCGCCACGCTCCCTAAACAGACCCTCCATCCAGATGCCATAGAGCTGGATCCAGAAACCACTGATTCTCTGACTAACCTCTCCTCCGGCTTCAGCAAGCGACCCAACTCCGTGGTTGTTGGAGGGAAACGTCTAAAAAAGTTGGCCGACACCAACGGGAAATTCAACACGTTCAGTACCAGAGATGGCCACAGGGGGAGCCAGCTGGATGTGGAGCGTACCTCATTCTGCGAGAGGCTGCAGAGAAGGCCGCCTCTTCCTCTACCAGAGAATTCCATCTCCATCATGGCGGAGAACCTGGCGGTGAACAGCCTGCCGAGGAGTCACCACAGCCTGCCGCGCCCCCCTCCCCCACACCCTGAACGGACAGAGCCTGAGGAGGATCCGGGGGAGGCTGCAGGGGGGGACACTGGGGCGATGGGTGGCCAGGAGGAAGAGTACCTGGGGGGAGCGGCAGGTCCCTTCCCCTCCTCCCCTAACAAGAAGCCCCGGGACCCCCGCGGTGTGCAGGGAGATGCCCCAGGAGAGCAGCTGCAGCAAGTGAGGCAAGGGGTTGCCCGGCTGTGTGAGTACCACCTAGCCAAACGGATCTCGTCCCTCCAGAGCGAGGCCCACAACTCCCTGCAGGGCTCCCAGTGCTCGTCACTGGACGCGGGCTGCAGCACGGGGAGCAGCGCCTGTGGCACCCCAACGGATTCGCCCCTCTGCGCCCCCGACGGTAACCGCCACCCACTATCCGAATCTTCCTCGTCCCTCAGGGTTTTCACCTACGAGGACAAGGCTCCCCACGGAACCCCGGGCCAGATCCCTGGGGGCAGGGACCTCCACCCCCAAGCAGACCCCGCACTCCTGCGGAAGATGCTGCCCAACATACACCCTCCTGGGTCAGACACCAGCAGAGAGGGTTCCCTCCGGTCTGCCAAGATGAAAGAAACCACAGGTAGTACAGCTAGAAGGAGTAACCTTCAAAATGATCTGCATGCCAAGACAGCCTGTGTAAGGGGTGCTAACCCCAAGGAGGGGAGCGAGGCCTATAGGCAGCTCATTAACTACCTGACAGTGAGCCAGATGCACCAGGGAGGCAAGTTGCACAGTGCAGGCCTGGGAGGGGGAGTCAGGAAGGACACTAGGAGATATATAACCAGTAATCCCCAACTGATAGAGATGGTTAGGAGTAAGGGGAACACCGTTGGCCGATATCCCTGCATGCCCCCCTCGTCCTCCTCACCCTTCCTCAGCCCGAGTCTAGTGAACCCCAATGCAGCCACCTCACGGGGCGACAACGGCCCCCGACCGTATCACTCCGCCACACTTCCCGCTAAGTTGAAGAGCAATCCTGACTTGCATGCTCAGAGACCCGCTGACAGTCTTGAAGTAAGGCCCAGTGGCACAGAGAGGAGGAGCTCCTTTTCGGGCCTCGAGAGTGAGTTAGAGAGGGGCGCCATCGACCCTGAGGTCGAGCGGTTCCTGTCCCTGAGGGACAGCGTCCATGGAGGGGGTAGGGGCATGCTCCACAGGCCCCCCTCCAGGGCGCGGAGTGTGATGTCCCAAAGCGGTGCCAGCATATGTGGCCCAGAGGAATGGCTCAGGTCTGACTGCAGGACAAAGCATGCCATCCGACAGGCTCTTAACGATTCTCTCTGTTTCTCTACTGCCCCTAGTGTAGCTCGCACAGAGCAGCTGGGGACGTCACTGGGAGCGGAAGCAGGAGACCACCCATCAGCATTCACTAAGCAGGCCAGAGCCTGCGCCACGCCTCCACCCCCTCCTCCTCCACCACCTCCTCCACTTCCCCTACCAGCCAACATGAGCACCCACAACTCCACTGTGCCAAAGCAGGAGTCCACCGTCACACACAGACAAAACCACATCCAGTCAGTCACAGCCAGCCTCCACCACCAGTGCGAGCCCAATATGAACAGCCTCCAGCGAGGCAGGGACTCCAATATGAACAGCCTCCACCTGGGCAGGGACTCCAGTACAAACAGCCTCCATTTGGGCAGGGAGCCCAGCACCAACAGCCTGCAGCGGGACAGGGAGCCCAGCATCAACAGCCTCCACCTGGGCAGGGAGCCCAGCATCAACAGCCTCCACCTGGGCAGGGAGCCCAGCATCAACAGCCTCCACCTGGGCAGGGAGCCCAGCACCAACAGCCTGCAGCGGGGCAGGGAGCTCAGACGGAGCACCAGTAATGTAACTGCGGGCTCCGGGAGTGTGGATGTGCTCTTCGACAAAGGCAGAACCAAGTGCCAGCAGCAGCAAGGACCAGTTGACCCCAAACTACAGAGGAGACCCACGAGGAAGAGGCTGTCGAAGAGCTACTCGCAGGGCTCGGTAGCATCCACATGCTGGTCGGCTGGGGGCAGAGACAGCCGGAGGGCCTCGGTGATGTTCCCCCTGCAGAAGGATGCCAAGCACATGAAGGGCTCGCAGAAACTGGACTCGGGCAGCCCCTGGAGGTGCCACGGTCCCTTCAGCTACTGCTTCTTCAAGAGGAAGAGCCAGGCGGAGGAGGATGAGGTAGAGGGGGGCGAGAGGGACGAGAGGGGCGAGAAGTCCAGGCGCTGCCGTGGCGGGGAAACGGAGGAAGCAGCGTCTATCTACGGCCCGGCCATGGACGCAGCAGGCGACCAGCTCTACAGCGAAGTCCTGACCAACATGAGCTTCAGCGACCGGCTGTCGCGCATCAACACGCTCAAAGACCGCATGTACGTCTTCCCCGTCGGCTTCTCAGACGTGCGCCGCGACGCCAGCGAGCTCATCGCCCTAGTGCGCTCGAGCGTCGGCAGGGGGGACCGCGGCGGCCAGGTGCCACAGATCACGGCAGACCTGTCTCAGTACAAGCAGCTGCTGTCCATCGAGTCTAAAGAGCTGGGGCGGGCGTGTCGCAGGATGGCCCAGTCCCACGGCAGCCCAGAGGAGATGCTGCTGGCCATCACCTGCAGTTTCCAGGTGCTGTGCTGCCTGTCTGAGGCATGCATGTGCCTGGTGAGGGGCCTGGGGGCATCAGCTGCCCAACAGCAGAGGGAGGTGGTGGCCAAGGTGGACGAGCTGGTCATTAACTACATCTGCCTGCTGCGCGCAGCTGAGGCGGCGTCCATCGGAGTGCCCAGCGACCACAGTGTCAATGCCCTGGTCCGCCACTCCAGCACCATGTCAGCCATCGCCAACGCACTCACCCGCTCCCTCAAAACGCTGCTTAGCAAGTAGTAGGATGCCCAGCCGGCGGCAACGTCTTTTAGTGTTATGTACATTATGCAAAGCCATACAAGTCCAGACCTTTGTAATAAGAACTGATGTTATTATAGACTGTGTACAATTTATTTTCTATGTATAAAATGTACATACAGTACATATGATACACTATATGAATATATAAATTGCTATAGACATTTTGAGAGGTCATTGGGAAGACATGTACTCTTTAATGTGATATTGACGATGCAGTTTTAGGTTGCAATGTGGAGAGGATTGATCTACCGGAGCACTGAAATGCACTGCATTTAGCACTCCTTATTGTAATTTCTAAATTATTTTGACATGTTTTTTAAAAACAAATACAGAGGGCATAAATATATAATGAAAATACATAAAATATGTAAGCAAGTATCTCATTAAAGAGCTTTTAAGTCAATCAGGCAGTGTGTAATGTTTCATCATTTTTTACATTCTTTCATTGTATGTGTTTTAATATGATCCTCTTGGATTCAATGGTGTCCTTGAACATCTATGTATCAGATGCCATTTTATTTATCCGACCATAAACATAAAAATCCACTCAATATTTTTTCAGCTTCTCTGACCCATTAAAATGTTTTACATATCTGAGTGTAATGGTGTGTCTTCACTTGCTATTTAATTTGCTCCACTAACATCTCGTAGAAGAACTCCATTCAGTAAAACAAATATTAACTCGTGCACTGTCTCATTTTTCTACACCCTAGGCCTAGTAGCTAGCTCTAGCTACAAAAAAATGCTAATGCCATTTTGAACATGAAAATGTTTCATGGCAAATTACATCTTATTCATTTGGACATAAAACAATCTATTAATTTAAAGTGAACAGGAGGCCCTTTTTTCCTAGCGTGGTGCTTCTCATGTGAGCATAGTAAGAGGGAGTGTATCTCCAAGGGGTTGACAAAGGTTTCTGTGTGTGGATAAAAGAGGCACTTGAGGTATCATCTGACTACAATCTCAGAGTTAATTCAAGTTAAAACACACAGATCCAAAGTTCTTAAAGGGTAAAGGGGGACTGTGAGGACATTTTGAAAGGCCAAAATCTGTAAGAGACCATTCCTTTCTGACTCTTTGGCCAATGTGCTTTTCAAACCAACAGTATGTGTACCTATTACACCTTGATTACACCGATAGCGTCATTGCGCAAAATAGTATGCAGCATCATCTGCATATGTGTGCAAAAAAAGTTCAACATTCACCTTCTGCTACCATTTCTGTCAAGCAGTCTACGCATACAGTTTGACGCATACGTTAGCTAAATGCAACGTATGCACCACACAGAACGCACTGCAACTGCCTCTGCAACGCAATGCTGCAAGGCAAACGCAGCGTTCCATTGGAAATGAATGTACTTCTGGTGTACCAAAATGCAATGACGCTGTCAGTGTGATCGAGGCGTTAGTCAGTCATAGTGTGTGGCAGGACATGCAAATACATTATACTTTTTTTTTAAGGCCCAGTGCAGTCAAAATTTAGATGTTCCTGTTTTATATATATTCCCACAGTATGAGGTTGGAATAATACTGTGAAATTGTGAAAATTATGATACTGCCCTTTTAGTGTAAGAGCTGTTTGAAAAGACCACCTGAAATGTCAGCCTGTTTTGGTGGGATGGGGTTTTGGCCTTCCATGGTGATATCACCATGCTATAAATTAGTTAAAGTTTCAATATGTAACTTTTTAGGTGACCCGACCAAATTCACATAAAAATGTGAGTTATAGATCTGTCATTCTCATTGAAAACAAGTCTAAGAAGCGTTAGAGCTGTTCTATCTGCACTATTTCTATGCTTCCCATTCTTGAGGTTTTTTTTGCGTATTTTACTTTCGGTTTTGTACATACACCAGATTCAAACAGCTGAAAATACAATATTTTTGGTTATGGAAAATATATTTTACAGCGGTTTAGATGGTACAATGATTCTCTACACTATACTTGCTTGTTTTGCCACATAAACTGAAATTAGGCAAACTATTAGAATTTAAGCAACCAGGAAATGCCGATTTCTCCATAATGCACCTTTAATAGACCAATAAGAAAGAGAGTTCGAAACCTCTCTGCCAATAACAGCTACATTTCAGTTTTTCCCTCCCCACTCAGACCACTCACAGACAGTCCTAGCAAAATCCTTGCTTGAGAAATTGCCCTTTGCTAACCAGCTATTTTTGTTTATTTTTGACCATTTTCATTGAAAACAATCACAGTAAGGTACTTTTTTGTTCCCCAGAAATTATTTGATATTGCGATAAAAAAGTCTGCATTGGACCTTTAAGAAAGGAAGAAAATCATGATAGCTGCACCCTGTAAAATGTGTAAAGTGAATCTTTGCAACTGCAATGTATTGGCCATAACTTTACCAAATGCTCTATTGTTGGTTGTACTGAACAGTAATATTCTCATAAGGAGACAGGAAAATCACAATCAGAACCTAGGTCTAACATGTTGTACTATTAGGCCTACTAGCATTATTGTGATCTGCACAATGAACAATAGGCTGAAAGACACATTCCACACTACATTGTTGTCAGATCCCGCTATGCCCTCCGACGAACCATCAAACAGGCAAAGAGTCAATACAGGACTAAGATTGAATCGTACTACACCGGCTCTGACGCTCGTCGGATGTGGCAGGGCTTGAAAACTATTACAGACTACAAAGGGAAGCACAGCCGCGAGCTGCCCAGTGACACAAGCCTACCAGACGAGCTAAACCACTTCTATGCTCGCTTCGAGGCAAGCAACACTGAAGCATGCATGAGAGCACCAGCTGTTCTGGATGACTCTGTGATCACGCTCTCCATAGCCGATGTGAGTAAGACTTTTAAGCAGGTCAACATTCACAAGGCCGCTTAAAAGTTTTCAACATGTCCCTGACTGAGTCTGTAAGACCAACATGTTTCAAACAGACCACCATAGTCCCTGTGCCCAAGAACACTAAGATAACCTGCCTAAATGACTACCGACCCGTAGCACTGACATCTGTAGCCATGAAGTGCTTTGAAAGGCTGGTCATGGCTCACATCAACACCATTATCCCAGAAACACTAGACCCACTCCAATTTGAATACCGCCCCAACAAATCCACAGACGATGCAATCTCTATTGCACTCCACACTGCTCTTTCCCACCTGGACAAGAGGAACACTTACGTGAGAATGCTATTCATTGACTACAGCTCAGCATTCAACACCATAGTGCCCTCAAAGCTCATCACTAAGCTAAGGATCCTGGGACTAAACACCTCCCTCTGCAACTGGATCCTGGACTTCCTGACGGGCCGCCCCCAGGTGGTAAGGGTAGGTAACAACACATCTGCCATGCTGATCCTCAACACGGGGCCCCTCAGGGGTGCGTGCTCAGTCCCCTCCTGTACTCCCTGTTCACCCATGACTGCATGGCCAGGCACGACTCCAACACCATCATTAAGTTTGCAGACGACACAACAGTGGTAGGCCTGATCACTGACAATGATGAGACAGCCTATAGGGAGGAGGTCAGAGACCTGGCCGTGTGGTGCCAGGATAACAACCTCTCCCTCAACGTGACCAAGACAAAGGAGATGATTGTGGACTACAGAGAAAAAAAGAGGACTGAGCATGCCCCCATTCTCATCGACAGGGCTGTAGTGGAACAGGTTGAGAGCTTCAAGTTCCTTGGTGTCCACATCACCAACGAACTATCATGGTCCAAACACACCAAGACAGTCGTGAAGAGGGCACGACAAAGCCTATTCCCCCTCAGGAGACTGAAAAGATTTGGCATGGGTCCTCAGATCCTCAAAAGTTCTACAGCTGCACCATCGAGAGCATCCTGACTGGTTGCATCACCGCCTGGTATGGCAACTGCTCGGCCTCCGACCGCAAGGCACTACAGAGGGTAGTGTGTACGGCCCAGTACATCACTGGGGCCAAGCTTCCTGCCATCCAGGACCTCTATACCAGGCAGTGTCAGAGGAAGGCCCTCAAAATTGTCAAAGACTCCAGCCACCCTAGTCATAGACTGTTCTCTCTGCTATTGCACGGCAAGCAGTACCGGAGTGTCAAGTCTAGGTCCAAAAGGATTCTCAACAGCTTCTACCCCAAGCCATAAAACTCCTGAACAGCTAATCATGGCTACCCAGACTATTTGCACCCCCACCCCATCTTTTTTACGCTGCTGCTATTCTGTTAATTATTTATGCATAGTACTTTAACTCTACCCACATGTACATATTACCTCAACTATCTCAACTAGCCGGTGCCTCCGCACATTGACTCTGCACCGGTACCCCCCTGTATATAGCCTCCCTACTGTTATTTTATTTTACTTCTGCTCTTTTTTTCTCAACACTTTTTTGTTGTTGTTGTTTTATTGTACTTTTTTATTAAGAAATAAATGCATTGTTGGTTAAGAGCATTTCACGGTAATGTCTACACCTGTTGTATTCGGCGCATGTGGCAAATATTTTTTTATTTGATTTGAGATGTGTCTCACCACTGTTGTGCTGTAACAATCATAGTCCCCTATGATTAGCTCTGGTTACAGTTACAGTAAAAACCATTGAGCTATGGTAAGTAAAAACCCATAGGCTAAATGAAAATCATTGATGCACCAATAACGTTGGGGTTAGTGCTATCCGGGATCCTTGGGACGTTCATCGATTTTGTCCAATGAGGAAGAGGATGGCAGCCGCACAGAAATACTTGAGTTTGCGAGGATTTACATTTTTACATTTTAGTCATTTAGCAGATGCTCTTATCCAGAGCGACTTACAGTTAGTGAGTGCATACATTTTTCATACTGGCCCCCACAGAACAGTTGCAGGGGGTGTTAAGTGGTAGTTTTCTGTCCTCCCAGACCGTTGGTCTGGAGTAGGATTAGATAGGGTAAATAGTGGAATGGGATGGTGTTTTTGTTATTTTTAAAATTGAGAGGGCTAATAGTTGGCAGGGTAATTGTTCCTTTTCCCCAATTGTATAGTACCGTATCACAAATAATGTAATGTAGGTAGGCCGTGAATAGCCTCACACCCCAGTACAGTAGGTGGCAGTGTGTGCACCTGAAATCGGATGCGATCCTCCAACACGATCCCAAAGAAGAAGAAGGAGACGAAGAAGAAAAATTAGGAAGTAGCACTTCCGCTCTTCCATGCAAACAAGATTCTCACTTCCTTTTCAGTTTTAGGTCTCCTCTCGTGCTGAGCTGCTATGCGTGAGCTACAGCGATAACAAGTTAACTTGTTAGCTAACTCGCCCCTTGGGGGATAATTGTTGCATCCAAAATCTCCTACTCTCAAATTACACAGAAATATTTCGGACATGCCGAACATCGTGCTTTTCAGCGGGAGCTCCCACCAAGACCTGTCACAAAAAGTGGCTGATCGCCTCGGACTGGAATTGGGGAAAGTGATAACGAAAAAATTCTCCAACCAAGAAACATGGTAGGTCTATTTTTACGCATTTCTCGTCCGTCTTTTGATAAATACATGTTTAGTTAACTTACAGTTGCGTTAGCTGAGCTAGCCTAGCAAGCTAGCTGGTGCTGGACGTTAACTTACTGCAGCCTGGGTCATGCATGCACATGTGCGCAGGAGTAGTAAGTTTGCCAACTATGCTAACGACACTTAATACCGTTAGCTTGCTAACGGTATTACATCAATACCTAAATTGGCTAGTCAGTTATAGCTAGTTCTTATGTAATCCTACGGTCCCGCGTGCTAGTTTTGATTGTTGAGTCGTAACTTTGCAAGATACACCATGCTAGCTAACTCGCTAGTTTGTGAAAAGACTCACGTGACTTGATAATAGCCAACATAGTTCGGGTAAACAGAACCAACTAGTGCAGCAACCGAGAACCAAGCCACGTTCAGTAGGCAAACGTCTTGAAATGTTGCAGATATAAATGTCATGAAAATAACTGAGTGATAACTCTGCAGGTAGCCTAGTGGTTAAGAGGGTTGGGCCAGTAACCGAACAGTCGCCGGTTCGAATCCCTGAACCGACTAGGTGAAAATTCGGTCGATGGGCCCTAATTGCACCTGTAAGACGATCTGTATAAGAGCCTCTGCTAAAATGACAAAAATGTTAAATAAGAATGTATACATTTTTTCATTTATACATAATTGTTCTTATTAATATCCGGGATCTTATCTGAATTGTTCCTATATTTATTTATTTGCCATGCTGCCACCCCTGGTTCCATCTCAGCCAAAATGATGTAATGCACTTAATCTGGGTTCATGTCCAGCTAGTAAGCAAGTTGACCTAATTGTTCAGTAGAGATAGTAGCTCCATAAACCTGCACTGGTGCATGTAGACTTTACAATACTTGCAATATGATGCAATGTGTGTGAGCCAGTTCACTGCACTGCCCCATGCACCAAGGTGAGCTAAGGTCTTCTATTGATTTAGCCTAGCTACATTACTTGTCCCCTATGTGCAATAGTGGGTCTTTGTCAGCTATATTAATACAATAATCTGCTTTAGAATTTATGGATACTTTTGGAGAAAATGTGGCCTGATAGTGGGAGTGAGTGTACAAGGACACTGATAAATAAGATATTATTGTGGGATGTCTTCCTTGCAAGGACGAAAAGGGGAGGCAAGGACATAGTATTAAGCATGAAACACACCGAGAATCTCACTGCTAATAGGTACTTATCACAGTGGGAGGCCGTTCCTTCTCTTGCAAGAACAAAAGCGGGCCCTGTAGCGACAAACCTACTGATTCTACTTGTAGAATCGCAATGCTTGTCAGTGGCCCACAATTTGACTTTGAGCCAATCAGAGAGTACAAACACCCACGTCAGGGAACTAACAAAAAAGGAAAAAACTGGCATTTTCTCCGTACATTCATGGATGAGCCAGTCACACTTCATATGCAATGTAGGCTATGGGATGGTAGCTAGCTAAGTGCACAGACGCAATGCACACAACAGTAAATACTTTTCTAAGCTAGCTAACCACTGTAGCTAATAACGTTATAGACATTAAAATTAAATCACAACAGATTAGCTCGTTTCTATGAAACAGCTGTTTTTGTTAACTGCCGTGTTAGTGCAGTGTCCCACAGCTAGATAACTACGTAGCAAGATGACAAAGAAACAATTGAATGCACTCTCCATAATCCCATACTGCCAGTGCCAGCCTGGCACATTTTCAACATGTCCCTGACTGAGTCTGTAAGACCAACATGTTTCAAGCAGACCACCATAGTCCCTGTGCCCAAGAACGCTAAGATAACCTGCCTAAATGACTAGCGACCCGTAGCACTCACGTCTGTAGCCATGAAGTGCTTTGAAAGGCTGGTCATGGCTCACATCAACACCATTATCCCAGAAACCTAGACCACTCCAATTTGCATACCGCCCCAACAGATCCACAGATGGTGCAATCTCTATTGCACTCCACACTGCCCTTTCCCACCTGGACAAGAGGAACACCTACGTGAGAATGCTATTCATTGACTACAGCTCAGTGTTCAACTCTATAGTGACCTCAAAGCTCATCACTAAGCTAAGGATCCTGGGACTAAACACCTCCCTCTGCAACTGGATCTTGGGCTTCCTGACGGGCTGCCCCCAGGTGGTAAGGGTAGGTAACAACACATCTGCCACGCTGATCCTCAACACAAGGGCCCCTCAGGGGTGCGTGCTGAGTCCCCTCCTGTACTCACTGTTCACCCATGACTGCATGGCCAGGCACGACTCCAACACCATCATTACGTTTTCAGATGACACAACAGTGGTAGGCCTGATCACTGACAATGATGAGACAGCCTATAGGGAGGAGGTCAGAGACCTGGCCGTGTGGTGCCAGGATAACAACCTCTCCCTCAACGTGATCATGACAAAGGAGATAATTGTGGACTACGGGGGGAAAAAAGAGGACTGAACACGCCCCCATTCTCATCGACGGGGCTGTAGTGGAACAGGTTGAGAGCTTCAAGTTCCTTGGTGTCCACATCACCAACAAACTATCATGGTCCAAACACACCAAGACAGTCGTGAAGAGCGCACAACAAAGCCTATTCCCCCTCAGGAGACTGAAAAGATTTGGCATGGGTCCTCAGATCCTCAAAACGTTCTACAGCTGCAACATCGAGAGCATCCTGACTGGTTGCATCACCGCCTGGTATGGCAACTGCTCGGCCTCCAACCGCAAGGCACAACAAAGGGTAGTGTGTACGGCCCAGTACATCACTGGGGCCAAGCTTCCTGCCATCCAGGACCTCTATACCAGGCGGTGTCAGAGGAAGGCCCTCAAAACTGTCAAAGCCATAAGACTCCTGAACAGCTAATCATGGCTACCTGGACTATTTGCATTGCACCCCCCCCTCTCCCAACCGCTCGTTTACGCTGCAGCTACTCTGTTTATTATCTATGCATAGTCACTTTAACTCTACCCACATGTACATATTACCTCAATTACCTCGACTATGGCTATATAGCCTCCCTACTGTTATTTTATTTGACTTCTACTCTTTAATTATTTGCTATTTTAATAATTTTACTTTTAATTTTACCACTTTAATTTTATTTTCTTACAACTGCATTGTTGGTTAAGGGCTTGTAAGTAAGCATTCCACTGTAAGGTCTACACATGTTGTATTCGGCGCATGTGGCAAATACAATTTGATTTGGTCAATAGGCTGTTGGTTGACCAATGGGGTTTTATGTCGAGCGGTCGCAATTTTAGATTTTTATGGCACATAAGACACTGATTTACGCCTGTCTCAGTGGACTGCACAAGCAAATTAGCCTAATTGTAGCTTCGGTCTTACTTACCGGTACACACAGCCAATACCTGATACTCTTCTTAGGCCTACTTAAGACAATGTTGAAAAAGTTTGCAGTATAGCAGCATTTAGTTGTAGAAAGGGATTGACGCCAAAAAAGTGGAACGCAAACAGCGGTTTGATTACCATAGTTCGACAACGAATATGACATACCATTTGAAAACAGTAAATTAGTCTATTTTGTTTTTCTAGTTGCATGCTAAAACATTGACAGGTTTTATACGCTTGACAGCAGCTGCTGCAGTAGTGCTCTCCAACGAGCTGAACTGAATCGTCAGTGAGCGCTTTCTCCCGCGTTGGATAGTGGTCGCTGTCCGTGGTTCTGAAACAATCTTCAGTGCGCCGTTGAATTGGTTTGCAGGTTAAACAACACAATTCTTCATTTTTACTTGGCCTTCTCAAATATAGTTACAACCAGGCCAATTACCGGCAACTTCAGGAGCTTTACGGCAGAATCTGCGAAGGCCAGCAGTAGGAGGAGGAGGGTCAGGAACAGGTTTTTTCCAACTGGTTATCTTGTGTGTATTTGTGTCTTAATTATTTAATCAAACAGTGCGCTTAAAGCATCAGACAAGCTCAGTGCATATAGTTGATTTTATTAAAACTTAGGGTGTGTCTATATGGGAAAATAGACGTTTAAAGATGTTGATTGGTCGAAAGAACCGACTCTCGGTCTAACCAATAATTTTTTGCTCGGGGACAGTCCAAGTCTGTGCAGTCGCGGTGGGTCTCGTGTCTCCTCACGTCTGGCTTACGGTCTCCCCTTATAAATAGAACACAGGTTCCCTCGTGCCTCCTCTTCTGGGTGGTTCAGAGAGGTAGACCGGCTGTTGCGTTAATTGCCCCTCTTGGTCAGATGTGATCACATGACTCCAGCGGAGGCAGGGAAAAGGGGTTGTCCTGTCTGGAATGTTTCACACGTTCCACGTTCAGTAGGCAAACGTCTTGAAATGTTGCAGATATAAATGTCATGAAAATAACTGAGTGATAACTCTGCAGGTAGCCTAGTGGTTAAGAGGGTTGGGCCAGTAATTGAACAGTCGCCGGTTCGAATCCCTGAACCGACTAGGTGAAAATTCGGTCGATGGGCCCTAATTGCACCTGTAAAACGATCTGTATAAGAGCCTCTGCTAAAATGACAAAAATGTTAAATAAGAATGTATATATTTTTTCATTTATACATAATTGTTCTTATTAATATCCGGGATCTTATCTGAATTGTTCCTATATTTATTTATTTGCCATGCTGCCACCCCTGGTTCCATCTCAGCCAAAATGATGTAATGCACTTAATCTGGGTTCATGTCCAGCTAGTAAGCAAGTTGACCTAATTGTTCAGTAGAGATAGTAGGTCCATAAACCTGCACTGGTGCATGTAGACTTTACAATACTTGCAATATGATGCAATGTGTGTGAGCCAGTTCACTGCACTGCCCCATGCACCAAGGTGAGCTAAGGTCTTCTATTGATTTAGCCTAGCTACATTACTTGACCCCTATGTGCAATAGTGGGTCTTTGTCAGCTATATTAATACAATAATCTGCTTTAGAATTTATGGATACTTTTGGAGAAAATGTGGCCTTATAGTGGGAGTGAGTGTACAAGGACACTGATAAATAAGATATTATTGTGGGATGTCTTCCTTGCATGGACGAAAAGGGGAGGCAAGGACATAGTATTAAGCATGAAACACACCGAGAATCTCACTGCTAATAGGTACTTATCACAGTGGGAGGCCGTTCCTTCTCTTGCAAGAACAAAAGCGGGCCCTGTAGCGACAAACCTACTGATTCTACTTGTAGAATCGCAATGCTTGTCAGTGGCCCACAATTTGACTTTGAGCCAATCAGAGAGTACAAACACCCACGTCAGGGAGCTAACAAAAAAGGAAAAAACTGGCATTTTCTCCGTACATTCATGGATGAGCCAGTCACACTTCATATGCAATGTAGGCTATGGGATGGTAGCTAGCTAAGTGCACAGACGCAATGCACACAACAGTAAATACTTTTCTAAGCTAGCTAACCACTGTAGCTAATAACGTTATAGACATTACAATTAAATCACAACAGATTAGCTCGTTTCTATGAAACAGCTGTTTTTGTTAACTGCCGTGTTAGTGCAGTGTCCCACAGCTAGATAACTATGTAGCAAGATGACGAAGAAACAATTGAATGCACTCTCCATAATCCCATACTGCCAGTGCCAGCCTGGCACATTTTCAACATGTCCCTGACTGAGTCTGTAAGACCAACATGTTTCAAGCAGACCACCATAGTCCCTGTGCCCAAGAACGCTAAGATAACCTGCCTAAATGACTAGCGACCCGTAGCACTCACGTCTGTAGCCATGAAGTGCTTTGAAAGGCTGGTCATGGCTCACATCAACACCATTATCCCAGAAACCTAGACCACTCCAATTTGCATACCGCCCCAACAGATCCACAGATGGTGCAATCTCTATTGCACTCCACACTGCCCTTTCCCACCTGGACAAGAGGAACACCTACGTGAGAATGCTATTCATTGACTACAGCTCAGTGTTCAACGCTATAGTGACCTCAAAGCTCATCACTAAGCTAAGGATCCTGGGACTAAACACCTCCCTCTGCAACTGGATCTTGGGCTTCCTGACGGGCTGCCCCCAGGTGGTAAGGGTAGGTAACAACACATCTGCCACGCTGATCCTCAACACAAGGGCCCCTCAGGGGTGCGTGCTGAGTCCCCTCCTGTACTCCCTGTTCACCCATGACTGCATGGCCAGGCACGATTCCAACACCATCATTAAGTTTGCAGATGACACAACAGTGGTAGGCCTGATCACCGACAACGATGAGACCGCCTATAGGGAGGAGGTCAGAGACCTGGCCGTGTGGTGCCAGGATAACAACCTCTCCCTCAACGTGATCATGACAAAGGAGATAATTGTGGACTACGGGGGGGGAAAGAGGACTGAACACACCCCCATTCTCATCGACGGGGCTGTAGTGGAACAGGTTGAGAGCTTCAAGTTCCTTGGTGTCCACATCACCAACAAACTATCATGGTCCAAACACACCAAGACAGTCGTGAAGAGCGCACGACAAAGCCTATTCCCCCTCAGGAGACTGAAAAGATTTGACATGGGTCCTCAGATCCTCAAAACGTTCTACAGCTGCACCATCGAGAGCATCCTGACTGGTTGCATCACCGCCTGGTATGGCAACTGCTCGGCCTCCAACCGCAAGGCACAACAAAGGGTAGTGTGTACGGCCCAGTACATCACTGGGGCCAAGCTTCCTGCCATCCAGGACCTCTATACCAGGCGGTGTCAGAGGAAGGCCCTCAAAACTGTCAAAGCCATAAGACTCCTGAACAGCTAATCATGGCTACCTGGACTATTTGCATTGCTCCCCCCTCCCCCAACCGCTCGTTTACGCTGCTGCTACTCTGTTTATTATCTATGCATAGTCACTTTAACTCTACCCACATGTACATATTACCTCAATTACCTCGACTATGACTATATAGCCTCCCTACTGTTATTTTATTTGACTTCTACTCTTTAATTATTTGCTATTTAATAATTTTACTTTTAATTTTACCACTTTAATTTTATTTTCTTACAACTGCATTGTTGGTTAAGGGCTTGTAAGTAAGCATTCCACTGTAAGGTCTACACATGTTGTATTCGGCGCATGTGGCAAATACAATTTGATTTGGTCGATAGGCTGTTGGTTGACCAATGGGGTTTTATGTCGAGCGGTCGCAATTTTAGATTTTTATGGCACATAAGACACTGATTCACGCCTGTCTCAGTGGACTGCACAAGCAAATTAGCCTAATTGTAGCTTCAGTCTTACTTACCGGTACACACAGCCAATACCTGATACTTTTCTTAGGCCTACTTAAGACAATGTTGAAAAAGTTTGCAGTATAGCAGCATTTAGTTGTAGAAAGGGATTGACGCAAAAAGTGGAACGCAAACAGCGGTTTGATTACCATAGTTCGACAACGAATATGACATACCATTTGAAAACAGTAAATTAGTCTATTTTGTTTTTCTAGTTGCATGCTAAAACATTGACAGGTTTTATACGCTTGACAGCAGCTGCTGCAGTAGTGCTCTCCAACGAGCTGAACTGAATCGTCAGTGAGCGCTTTCTCCCGCGTTGGATAGTGGTCGCTGTCCGTGGTTCTGAAACAATCTTCAGTGCGCCGTTGAATTGGTTTGCAGGTTAAACAACACAATTCTTCATTTTTACTTGGCCTTCTCAAATATAGTTACAACCAGGCCTATTACCGGCAACTTCAGGAGCTTTACGGCAGAATCTGCGAAGGCCAGCAGGAGGAGGAGGAGGGTCAGGAACAGGTTTTTTCCAACTGGTTATCTTGTGTGTATTTGTGTCTTAATTATTTAATCAAACAGTGCGCTTAAAGCATCAGACAAGCTCAGTGCATATAGTTGATTTTATTAAAACTTAGGGTGTGTCTATATGGGAAAATACACGTTTAAAGATGTTGATTGGTCGAAAGAACCGACTCTCGGTCGAACCAATATTTTTTGCTCGGGGACAGTCCAAGTCTGTGCAGTCGCGGTGGGTCTCGTGTCTCCTCACGTCTGGCTTACGGTCTCCCCTTATAAATAGAACACAGGTTCCCTCGTGCCTCCTCTTCTGGGTGGTTCAGAGAGGTAGACCGGCTGTTGCGTTAATTGCCCCTCTTGGTCAGATGTGATCACATGACTCCAGCGGAGGCAGGGAAAAGGGGTTGTCCTGTCTGGAATGTTTCACACGTTTCTTTTTTTGCTTGTTTTGATGCCTGCAACTTGTGGAGAGATGGGTGTGTGTGTGTACTGATTCTTGGAAGTCTGCTTTTCCACACACACTTTCAAATGAGAGCGCTCATGTGAGGCTTGTTTGTCAACGTTACACTCATTCTGGTCACTCCAATTTACTGCACCAGACCTCCATTAGTCCTCCGCTTGTGGCGTGCAATTATGATACTGTGTTGTTAGAAAGTGATATTGGGTGCTGTATCGGTTGCCCTTTTTCTAAGCATACCTTGGAGGGAGAGAGATGGCCTATTTGATAAATGTCCATGGTGAGAAGATTATGATCAGCCTTCTCTGTCGGGGTATACGAGCTATAGGCCTAGCGTAGTTATAAGAGTAGGGTGATGAGGACGAATGGATGATCTTCTCTACCTCAGTGTGGAGGTTAGAGGTTCCATGGCGGTGGTGAGAATTATGAGCTTCATCCTTTCCTTTAGATGACACTAAAATGAATGATGCTTCTTCTTCTCTTGGTCAGCGTGGAGATCGGGGAGAGCGTGCGCGGCGAGGACGTCTACATTGTGCAGAGCGGCTGCGGCGAGATCAACGACAACCTGATGGAGCTGCTGATCATGATCAACGCGTGCAAGATCGCCTCGTCGTCCCGCGTCACCGCCGTCATCCCCTGCTTCCCCTACGCCCGGCAGGACAAAAAGGACAAGGTAAGCCTACCTACCCCCCCCCGCCGGGCTGCTCCCAGGCCCAAGGAAGTCACTACTATGATTCCCTCTGTTAGGTGGTCAGTATGTAGTGTTAGGTGGTCAGTATGTAGTGTTAGGTGGTCAGTATGTAGCGTTAGGTGGTCAGTATGTAGCGTTAGGTGGTCAGTATGTAGCGTTAGGTGGTCAGTATGTAGCGTTAGGTGGTCAGTATGTAGCGTTAGGTGGTCAGTATGTAGCGTTAGGTGGTCAGTATGTAGCGTTAGGTGGTCAGTATGTAGCGTTAGGTGGTCAGTATGTAGCGTTAGGTGGTCAGTATGTAGCGTTAGGTGGTCAGTATGTAGCGTTAGGTGGTCAGTATGTAGCGTTAGGTGGTCAGTATGTAGCGTTAGGTGGTCAGTATGTAGCGTTAGGTGGTCAGTATGTAGCGTTAGGTGGTCAGTATGTAGCGTTAGGTGGTCAGTATGTAGTGCACGAGGAAGCATATACTGTGTGTATATCTCTCCTATTGAACGGTTTCCCCAGACAGACTTGAAGGCATGTCATCCAACAACTTCTGTGTTACTACACAAAAACCATAGGAAAATTACAGCCTCAACCAAATATTGCTGTAGGTTTGAATTAGAGTATGGTTCATCACCCGACAACAATTAAGCCTAATTCTCGTTAACAGTTCATTTTACTTAACTCAAGGGTGACGTCAGGCATTCCAAGAGGGGAGAAAAGGTTCACACACCGCTTATCTGGTAAATGATTGTCACACACTGTTCCAGTTAATAAAGTAACAGAAACAACAGAGTTTCCTCATGTAGCAAGCCACAGTTGTTCTGAGGCCTATCCTATATTCCACTGTTTCTTCCTCTTTCTCTCTATCAACCCAAAGACAGTGTATCAAGCACCAGTTACTATCATGAGACCCTAAGCACGAGACCTCTAACGTTTTGGAGCATATCATGTTTTCTCACATGAAGGTGTAACATGCCAGACCTCAAAGGCCCCTCTAACCTAGTGGCATACAGTAGCCCAGCGTTTCCCTACTCCAGTCCTCCAGTGTACCCCCTACAGCACACATTTTTGTTGGAGCCCCAGACAAACTTACCTGATACAAGGTCATGCCTAGAAGGGATCCTGTTAATGTCAAAATGATGTCATAACTTGCATATTCGAGGTCACGTCGGGGAGAATTTGAGCACTTTAGCTAACCCTTTTCCTAACCTTAATTTAATGTTCCTAACTTGCTTTGAAAAGTCACATCTGACATTAGGGGCATCCCATCTAGTCAAAACCCTGATTCAACTCATTGGGGGCTTGATGATTAGTTGACGAGTTGAATCAGGTGTGCTTGTCTGGGCCTAGAACAAAAATGTGTGCTGTAGGGTCTACTGGAGTTGGGAAATACATCTGTAGCCTATACAAACACGCAGAACTACAAGTTCTAGAACAGGACATTACAGATTTCAGACAGAGGGTCTACTTATGTTTGTAAATCAAAGTTTAATACAAGAAGGATTTAGACGGGTGTGTTCGCTTATACCAAATTATGGATGTTTAATTCCACATGTAGGCCTATCACTGTTGTCTTTTCCCTGAGGCATTTTAAATCAATTCATGGCACTGTGGAATGTGACTTAGTACAAAATAGGTGTTGAAACAAGCATCCTGCCAGAGTTGAACTTGTACATAAAGGAAACTGTGGGTTGAAGTGAGTCATGTGATTTGTCCCCTGAAACCACAATCTCAACAGTCACCTTGTGCTGCTGTTTGGTTACATAGGGCTGTGTGTGCATTAACCACAGAGGACCGAGATGTCTGTGTTGAACAAGCGAAAACCTGTAGCCAATCACCATCTTCTGTTGTCCGTCACCTGACCTGGATTGTGTTCCTTGTGAAGGAAGACAACAGAGCAGAGGATTTAGACTTGACTAGTTATTTAAATCCAGGGCAGTTACTGTAGTACTACAATTGTTGCCACGCTGAATAATTGAAATTGGGTGCTTCATCTGAAAGAGCCTGTAACTCCCTCTGTGTCCCAGAGTCGCGCTCCTATCTCAGCCAAGCTGGTGGCCAACATGCTGTCTGTAGCCGGCGCCGACCACATCATCACCATGGACCTCCACGCCTCGCAGATCCAGGTAGGCAGCAGTCGGCACATCATCACCGTCACAGCAATGCAATTGCAGGGTGCAGTTTCCCTTGCCGATAAATGAAGTTACATTGAATTGAAACGGCTAGTAGTAGTTGCTCAATTTGTCTCCTTCCTAGTTATTGCAGTGAAGTCTGAAGTTGTCGCTGCATGTTTTTGCACAATACTAGTCTGTATATTATGTTAAAGGGGGAAATGTTTGAAGCTTTTTCTGATCTCTCGGTAGGGATTCTTCGACATCGCCGTGGACAACCTGTATGCAGAGCCCGCGGTCCTCCAATGGATCCGGGAAAACATTCCAGAGTGGAAGAACAGCTGCATCGTGTCCCCTGACGCTGGAGGAGCCAAACGGTAATAACCAATTCAATGTGGCAGGGTCACGTGAAAACCAGATATGGCTGGTCCTGAGGTCTTCAAAAATATGGCAAAGCTATGGGGAAAGTCAGAAAGGTTTGGACCTGTTCATCTCTCCATTGTGTTTAACCTTCCATCTGTGTTTCTTTGTACTTGTCCATCTTCGAGATGAGTTCCGCTAGACTTATGGAGGTCATGTGTTCATTTTCAAACATTTAAACGACGGGGTTCGGTTTGCGAATGGAGATGCTATTTCAGCTGGGCACTGTCATGCCTCTCCCTCTGTCTCATATCTCTTGGTTTTAATTTCCTGGATCCAGAGTGACCTCCATCGCTGACCGTCTGAACGTGGAGTTTGCCCTCATCCACAAGGAGAGGAAGAAGGCCAACGAGGTGGACCGCATGGTCCTGGTCGGAGACGTGAAGGACCGCGTGGCCATCCTGGTCGACGACATGGCCGACACCTGCGGCACCATCTGCAAAGCCGCCGAGAAGTGAGTCCCAGCAACCATATATATACAGTGGGGAGAACAAGTATTTGATACACTGCCGATTTTGCAGGTTTTCCTACTTGCAAAGCATGTAGAGGTCTGTAATTTTTATCATAGGTACACTTCAACTGTGAGAGACGGAATCTAAAACAAAAATCCAGAAAATCACATTGTATGATTTTTAAGTAATTAATTTGCATTTTATTGCATGACATAAGTATTTGATACATCAGAAAAGCAGAACTTAATATTTGGTACAGAAACCTTTGTTTGCAATTACAGAGATCATACGTTTCCTGTAGGTCTTGACCAGGTTTGCACACACTGCAGCAGGGATTTTGGCCCACTCCTCCATACAGACCTTCTCCAGATCCTTCAGGTTTTGGGGCTGTCACTGGGCAATACGAACTTTCAGCTCCCTCCAAAGATTTTCTATTGGGTTCAGGTCTGGAGACTGGCTAGGCCACTCCAGGACCTTGAGATGCTTCTTACGGAGCCACTCCTTAGTTGCCCTGGCTGTGTGTTTCGGGTCGTTGTCAAGCTGGAAGACCCAGCCACGACCCATCTTCAATGCTCTTACTGAGGGAAGGAGGTTGTTGGCCAAGATCTCGCAATACATGGCCCCATCCATCCTCACCTCAATACGGTGCAGTCGTCCTGTCCCCTTTGCAGAAAAGCATCCCCAAAGAATGATGTTTCCACCTCCATGCTTCACAGTTGGGATGGTGTTCTTGGGGTTGTACTCATCCTTCTTCTTCCTCCAAACACGGCGAGTGGAATTTAGACCAAAAGCTATATTTTTGTCTCATCAGACCACATGACCTTCTCCCATTCCTCCTCTGGATCATCCAGATGGTCATTGGCAAACTTCAGATGGGCCTGGACATGCGCTGGCTTGAGCAGGGGGACCTTGCGTGCGCTGCAGGATTTTAATCCATGACGGCGTAGTGTGTTACTAATGGTTTTCTTTGAGACTGTGGTCCCAGCTCTCTACAGGTCATTGACCAGGTCCTGCCGTGTAGTTCTGGGCTGATCCCTCACCTTCCTCATGATCATTGATGCCCCACGAGGTGAGATCTTGCATGGAGCCCCAGACCGAGGGTGATTGACCGTCATCTTGAACATCTTCCATTTTCTAATAATTGCGCCAACAGTTGTTGCCTTCTCACCAAGCTGCTTGCCTATTGTCCTGCAACCCATCCCAGCCTTGTGCAGGTCTACAATTGTATCCCTGATGTCCTTACACAGCTCTCTGGTCTTGGCCATTGTGGAAAGGTTGGAGTCTGTTTGATTGAGTGTGTGGATAGGTGTCTTTTATACAGGTAAAGAGTTCAAACAGGTGCAGTTAATACAGGTAATGACTGGAGAACAGGAGGGCTTCTTAAAGAAAAACTAACAGGTCTGTGAGAGCCGGAATTCTTACTGGTTGGTAGGTGATCAAATACTTATGTCATGCAATAAAATGCAAATTAATTACTTAAAAATCATACAATGTGATTTTCTGGATTTTTGTTTTAGATTCTGTCTCTCATAGTTGAAGTGTACCTATGATAAAAATTACAGACCTCTAGATGCTTTGTAAGTAGGAAAACCTGCAAAATCGGCAGTGTATCAAATAATTGTTCTCCCCACTGTATATATATATATATATATATATATATATATATATACACACACACACACTAATATTCCCAAAGTTACGTTACTTTACCATGGCCTTGATGTAGATTATTTCTGTTTGGCTTGTGGTCTCAATGCAAGTCAGTATTCATAGATGCTTGCTATGAAGGCTCATCTGTTGAGCAGCCATGGATATCAAATCACAGTATGGTTTATTGACCTGAACCATTGTATCAAACTTAATGACATAGATTGTGTAGAGGGTGAGAAGTGATGTGGAGACTCAAAATCAAGTCAGGGTTTTTTTTCTGCATCAAACATTTCCTGAAATTCTACACATCTTGCCATGGGGCTGAGAGAAAATGTTTAGTTTTTAAGTTTTACTATCTTGAAAATTATTTTTTGCAACCAAAAAATATATATTATTGTTATTTACTGTTTGGACATTCACTCTTCTATTTGATACTCATGCACATTTAATTTTTGTACTTTGCTCGTACACTTTATTTTATCCGACCTTCAAATGCAGTATTAATATTAGTCAAAAAAATGTATATGACACAACTCCAATATCTCTCTCTAGATTGATTGATGCCGGTGCGATCAAGGTCTATGCTATCCTCACACACGGCATATTTTCCGGTCCGGCCATCGCGCGCATCAACGACGCTCCCTTCGAGGCCGTGGTGGTCACCAACACCATCCCCCAGGAGGAGAAGATGAAGTCGTGCCCAAAGATACAGGTACCCACTGTCCAGATAGGCACTCCCTGTTTACTCACACGTCCTGGTACATTTTAGCCAATGAGGATTGAGGAATCCCTTTGTGATACTTGCAGCATTTTGCCACTCCCATGTCTCGAAATAACTGTAGCTTGCTGTTGTTGTTAGAGCTAACCCTTCCAACCAGGATTGATTGGCTGCCCTATAGGTTACCTGACCTGAGGCACTGGTTGATGGCGGTCTGCCATAGAGATGTATATGATGTTGTATTTCTATGGTCTCCACCAGATCATAGATATAGCCATGATCCTGGCCGAGGCGATCAGGAGAACCCACAACGGCGAGTCGGTGTCCTACCTCTTCAGCCACGTGCCCTTGTAAAGGATAGCCACGAGAAGAGGGCACAACGGCCAATGGTGGCTGTCTCTCTCTCCTCACGGTCCAATCAGCTCGCACCTTCAGCCACCACGCCCTCGGGGAAGTCCTTAAACCCTGCGGGTGTGGGCCAATTACGCGTGACCGAGTCCTAAAGGCCACGCCCACTTTCCCGGCTCCATTGTCCGTGTAGAGACCCAAGAAAGAGTATCACCTCTTATTTGAGACCAGCAACTTTCTATTTATGCGTATTACCATGTTAAGACTTCCTTATTGTGTTTGTTTCAATAACATGCTTTGCCAGCCTTGCCACCCAAGGGATCTGGCTGTCACTTTAACCAAAGGTCCATTGCCTAACGATGTTCCTGTTTGTTGTTCCTCATTTTCTGTCCATTTCACTATAAATGAAAGCATTCCATTGTGTGATGTCACTTATTGATTTATCTGACTGTTCTAACCCGCACCGTGGAGAATCTGCACGGTGGTTTTAGAGGCTAACCACCTTTCTGTTTCATCAATACACGCCCGTTACGAAATACCAGGGTCCTATTCACTAGACTCAAAACGGTAGCAAACGGTGAGGGACTATCTGTACAATAACAAATTCCTGTCTTCACTTTCTGTTGCGAGACATTTTGCTACGGTGTGTGCTAATCAATGCAACCCAAGGTTGTTAAGTCATTAACAGCTGATCATTCCTTTAACCAGCAACATTTGGTTAGTGTGGGAGTACAGTCAAAAACATTTTATCAGAATGAACCAGAGCAGAGGCTGTATTTGTTTAACCAGTAGACATATCAGTTCTCCATGGTACCTACCTACATAATGTTTACCTCTTTCTAGCATTGTCTCCTTAAGGTCCAAAAATTATCATGGATTTCAATTTGAGATATGAGAGAGAGACAATTGTTGTAAGTATTTCCACATTTTCTGACATTCTAGTTAAAACGTTGTAGTTTCTTTAGTGCCACGTGACAAGGCCAAATCTGATTAGCCATTTTAGTTTCCTTAATTTAGTGTTCACCTGGTGTTGCACTCCCTCTAGTGGCGGAATGGTGTCATTGCAGGGCCTCATGCTCACCTTTGTATTTCTGATCACATTTGCTCAATAACTATCTTGAAATTGCTCATTTACTAAAACTCCATCACCACTTATCTCTTGCTACACAGGGCCCAGTTTTGCAAAAGTTATCGGATTTTGGCAATCGAATAGGATTAAATGCATAGAAATAGAATGAGTAGAAAGGGTATCCCCATTCAAGTCAATGATTTATTATATTTATATGCATTTAATCCAATCTGATACCTTGAAAAACTGGGGACAGTTCCTCTGTATATCAGGTGTATCCATCTATTCAAAGGGTGATTGGTCGAACAATCCTCATCCAAAAGGTCATGAACTTCAAAGTTCTACATTCCTCATGTCTTAAGTCTTATTTTTTACAATTATTTGTAGAGAAGAGAAAAAGTAGGAGGGTAACTCATCAGTGTTCATTTTCTCATGATGTAAGGTGATATTGCGCCCAAAAATTAGGCAGTTGATTGGTTGAAAACTGCTGGTGTTTTTTTTTTTTTTTACACTACCAGGTAATTTCATTGTTAATAAAAAACTTTGACAATGACATCTACATACTGCTGACTGTCTTCCTTTGGTTACTGGGGGGTCCTCGGATGAATTGTTAGACAATGCACTTACTTTTCCCCTTACAACAGTATTCCTAGGGGGAGGTGTTGCAAGGGATATGAGTGGGATTGCATGATCCCATTGGAAGATGGGAGTAATTAGGTGGCCATATGAGGAGCATCAGTTGCTACTTTTAGCACCAGAATCTTGTGACAGTGCCAAGGGAAAGTAAGAACCTTGGTTGAAAGTTTGTCAATCACAGGTCTAAAAAGGGTGAGTTTACCAAACTAGGCATGCAACACCACCACCATCTAGGATCAGGTCTTCCTTGAGCATGTATTCTTATTAGTTGTGATCTAATAGGCAAAACTGATCCTAGATCAGCACTCCTTGTCTGTTGTCTGAGAGCTTTGCCCTGGACTCCCATCTAAGGACCAACCAGGGAGAATATCCTTGTTTATGCTCAGACTGAGACAACTGCCTACAGGGGAGATGCAGGATGGTGTGGTTGAAGGCTACAGCCATATATAGTATATCATATATATATATATATATATATGCTTACTACCCTGATGTGGGGGGTACCTTATTAATGCCTTGTCACGTTCTGTATGGGGAGTTGGCAACAGTTACTCAGTAGACATGAGGACTGTCTGATGTCATTTTTCATTCCTTAGTGATGGATAGTGGCTGATGAAAAGATCAATAGCTGGCATCCACGTGCTTACTAGTTATTTCTTCTGGACCAGGCCAAACTCACATAACCATAAAAACATACTTCGCAAAGAGGATCAAGAGAAAATAAGACATAAGTGCTATTAGATAGTCACTAATAAGACATTTGAGTTGTTATAACTAACTATAGATTCACTTTGCCAGTGGGAATAACCATATGCGTCTGTTCATAGAGACTATATGACTACTTGCCCACACCGAGTTAATAGAAGGGACATGTTCTTTGCTCTTTAAGAAATGAAAGGGTGCAATAAAAAGTCACATGATAATGGTGATAAATACAATGTGGTACATACCTCCATTATCCGGCAGGTGGCGTCTTGTTCATACTTCTCTCTCAGTGGTGCCTGAAACTCGGGGAATAAAGTGATAAAAACACACGTATCACGTCTCCATAATTTGTTCAAATTCCCGCCGTTGAAAAATGAGGGTAAAATGTTGTAATCTAATTTCAATCTGCCATGTATTTCATTTCCAAATCTCTCTTGATGGGATTGATGATGGGAGCTGTATGGTGACGTCAGACTCTCTCATTTGCATATTGCTCAGTATATGTCCTATGCTTGCGCAAAGGCGCGACACACTGCTGCAACGCAAAGCCTGGAGAAGTACAACTAGTCAATCAGTCCAACTTTGGTAAGCACTGATATTCATATTAACTTTATGGCATTGGTCATATAACAGTATGATACCTGATCTCTGCTGAAATGCTGCAAGAATAGTGGAACTAAGCTGAATTTATTCTTGCGAGAACATTCTAACCTGTACAATGGCAAGGACAAAATATGTGACTATAAAGATGTTTGGATGGATACATCTAACTAGAAAATCGAAACGAATGGATATGTGTTCTATTTTAGGTTCATTGTGGAACACTAACCATATCAGTCCATATCCTTTGTTCAGATTCTTTGTGGTGGTGATGGTCTACAGTCAATTGTCTAAGTCATGCGTAATAACATTTGGAATGTGCCTTTAGATTGTATGTTATGTCACGTATAGTCATGAATGGGCCTATTTGAGGGAGTTGGGGTACTATTTGGGAGCCAGTCTTCGAAGATAAAGCGGATCTGGGCGGTGGTTCTCCAGATTGCGCTCCAATCTGTCTGCCGGAGGGAGAGGCGAGTCGATTTGACAAGTGAATTGGCGAATCTTAGACCATACACGTGGAAATAAAGTCTGATCAGCATTGTAGACAAATATTTGTACATTTAAAAAAAACATTTAATATACAGCATCTTTATACTTTTGGGAAAAGCCGTTGATGTGAACGCATGTGTGGCCAACTGCTTTTTCTCTTTTCGGCGTTCTCAGCATGGGAACGCGTATTGTTATGTAAATGTCATTTTTGGGGGGCATATTAGGCGCCATTCATTGTGGGGTGCGGTTTTGTGCCCCTGTGTGTGAAATGGTCCCTGACTTGGGTAACGGGATGTGAGGCAAATGGCACCAGGCTCTGCTTGAGGCGAACAAAAGAATGCAGGCGCACCACTTACACGTTTTAGGCACGTCGCTAGTTGCGCACTTGAGGAAAAGCTATTGTGGCTGCGGTGCTGTTAGCGCATATGTTTAATTAAAATATTGCTTCTCGTTTTGACAGACACTTCGCAATCATGTCTGACAAGCCAAATCTCGAGGAGGTCGCCAGCTTCGACAAGACCAAGCTGAAAAAGACCGAGACGCAGGAGAAGAATCCGCTGCCGACTAAAGAAAGTAAGGATACAGACATTTATGCAATAGTCTGACATTATGATATGACACATGTATACTATATTTTAAAATAATTTTATTTTTAATAAACTTATCCCACTGGGCACACACTGTTTGAATCAACGTTGATTCCACGTCATTTCAATGAAATTCCGTTGAACCAATGTGGAATAGAAGTTGAATTGACATCTGTGGCCAGTGGGATACATCATAAGAAGGCTACTGTACTGTAGGCTTACTGGTACTGCTATAGAATATAATCCTACCTTTTCAATGTTAACATTTTGGGTCTCAGGTACGCTACAGTAGACATGATAGGCCTAGGCTAAGTGAAAGACCATTTTTGCCTCAAGGGTGTTGCCAGTGAGATTCTCATCTCTGTCTTTTTGTCACTCTCTCTGTCTCTCTCTCTGTCCCTAGCCATTGAACAGGAGAAGCAGGCGTCGTCGTGAAGACTATCCATCCGTCATGCACTGTTCACCCCCTCCTCCTGCATTGCCTTCTTTTCACTCACTTCTTTTTAGCTGTATAACTTTGTAACCCGAAATGTCAAGAAAAAACCCACCACCAACAACAACAACAGAGCTGCACTGCGATGGATCACTATCCATGTCCAGGCGCTGACCCCGCCCCTCCTACCACCTCCACCAATAGAGGAGCAGGCCCTCGCCAAGCCAGGAATGAGGAGGTACTACCAACCAACCAGGGGCGGTATGGTGGACGGGCCCAAAGGCGTGGGGTGTGGTGTCCAAACATCAACACGGGGTAGAGAGGGCTACAGGATGGGGGCGTGGCCATGGATCTAGGAAGTTACATCCCTCGCTCCACATCCAATTTCCTGTGTGGCCTCTTGTCGACCTGGTAACAGGCCCCAACCGAGGTGTCCGGCGTTTTTTATTTCAATTTCGGAAAAATGCACAACGTTTTTTTGTTTTTACGCTGGTAATATGATTAACGTACCCATCGGTTAATACAAGTTTTCTGTCAGATATTTTTTTATCGAAGCAAGGATGAAAAAAAACGGAATCCATCTAGTCTTGGGAGATACTCGTGTGGACTTTATTTACGTTGATGTTTTTAAAACGTTTATTGTACGTTGACCTTTTTTATCGATGTGATTTGGGATAGCTTTTTGTGTTGCACCCTGTCTCTGAATTGTTTAATATTGTAAGGAAAAAAGATAATTACTGGGAATTAATTCCATGTGTTCTGCTTTCAACCGTACAGTCTATCAAATGATTTGGAGTTTTCTAAAGTCCCAACAGTCATGTTATTCAGACACATACCATTACCAATAATGGAAACAGTGAAATGTTGTAATAAAAAAAGAATTTGTTTCTATGAAGTGAATTGCGACATGTTTTCTTTATCCATGCATTTTTTGACATTGAGGGATGCATACTTAGTGGACCACCCACGTTCTGTATGTGTCAACTAAGGCCAATACTGTGGTCTGCCAACTAACCCAAATTTCAACCCTGCTCGTACTCCACACGACCCATGGGCCATGACCCTTGAACCTGCAAAGCGATGAGGCTGTTTGCACTGGGAAAATCCACTCAAAAACCACAGTATCTTTGGGTATTTTACTCATTAGTCCACTGTTGATACAGTCCCAAAAATGCATTTTGCATCATCATGATGATGTGGCAGGTGATACTTTGCTTCTTGAAAGTCCTATATCTTGAAAACTTGACTGCTGACATGCAAAACATTTTGGGACTGTATCAACAGTGGACTAATATTATTATATTTTTTTAAGAGAGAGTTTTTGAGTGAATATCCAGGAAATTTCAATTCACAATGGAGTCCTCTAGTTCCAGAAAGATCTGTGGGCACGTTGATGATTAAGGCCTTTTATCCCATGTTTATTGGGGAATAAGATGTCTCAGACTCAGCCTTGATTATCACACACATTCAGAATCAGTTCAGGCATTGTAGACACTTAGAGTTGAGTGAAAAAAGGAGTGGTTGCGTTCATATCTACTGTTATTCATGAAGTACACATTCATTCATAGAGTATTTATTTGTAGGCCATGTGAACAAATGTATGGATGTACAAAGTTCACACAGTGTAGATATAAACTGACAGATAAATTTAATTATTTCAAATGTTCAAAGAAATATAATAAGTGCATAATAAACATGAAGATTCACCTCTCGATTAGATTTTGAATGAGTTAGCAGTTCTTTGTCCTCAGTGTGGTCAATAGGGTGTTGCCTCTCTCTAAGTTGGAGATTTATTTAGCCCAACTCCCTTCAGCTTGAATTAGTGTTTGCCTGCAAAGCCTAATGGTATTATCATGACATCAGACACTCCACTTCCTGTAGATGGACAGACAGACGAAAAACATATCCCCTCCATCCATGCACAAGCCAGGCCTGTTCCACTTCACTTCCTTATCAATATAAAAAGACAAGTTGCGGATTGGGCCTTTAATGATGACACTGCTCATACTGTATGTTGCAACAACAATCAATTATGGTGACTGAAAATAATGAAATATTGAGATGAATACTGCAGTCTACCCTGTTGACATTTCTATCCATCGGC